GGGGGGGGGGGGCGGGGGGGGGGGCGGGGCCGCGCAGGTGGGGGGAGGAGCGGGGGTCTTGGGGCAGGTGTCCCCCGTACCACGGCGCGTCCCGCGGGGTCTCCCGCCCCGAGGTGCACGGGCGGAGGGCGCATCTGCTGGACCCTGGCCCCCCGAAGGGTGCGCTGGCGCGGCGCCGCCACCACCCCTGCGACCCCCGGGGGGCGTCCAGGAGGGAGCCCCGCTCCCCACGCTGCCAAAGTGCTCCGAAGTTGCGGTCCTGCCCGGTCCTGGCGGGCAGTGCCCACCGGGTGGGCGCCTGCAGGTGCTTCCTCCGGGCCTGGGCAGGGACCCCCGCCACGACTGCCAGTACGGGGACGGGCCCCCTGGGAGCCCCCAGGCCCCTGAGGGCAGCGCCTGCAGCCAGGCCTGGAGCCCCGGCCCCGCCCCGATTGCCTGGGCCTGGCCTCCCCACTGTCTCCCTGGGGAGGGCGCCTCATTCCTGCCCTTCACTTTCTGCCGTTACCTTGAAGGTATTTATAGGTGGAGAGGACAGCCCCCACCCCCACGGCCTCCCCAAGGTCCTGATTTCTGGACCAGGAGCCCCATCTGCCCCCTTTGCCCACAGACTAGAGAGATCTTAGGAGGGTGGGATGGAGGGTCCCAGGTTGGGTATGCATGAGGGGTATGCTGGGGTCACTTGAGGCTACGTGTGAGGTGAAGGGGTTCATGCTGGAGAACCCTAAGAACACTTGATGGGGAGGGTTGGAGTATGAGATAAGTGCAGGGGTAATGATGGGGGGACTTGAGACGGTGTATAGGACAGAGTGCAGAAGTGGCTGGGGTTCTTGCTGAGGCATGGGCATGGAGTATGCATTTGCGTGGAAGTGCCAGCACAACTGGGGAAAGTGCAGCAGTGTGTGAAGGAAGGGAGGCATCTGGGAGAGGTGACAGGATTAATGCTGGAATAAAACAAGGTGGCTGAGTATGCATGTATAAAAATGGGGTAAACTGAGGCAGTGCAGGATCTGTGTGAAGAGAAGAGTTATCAGTGGGGAGACTGAGGTACACTGAGGACAGGGGCCATCCAGGATACAGTGTGTGTGGATAGGACCACAACACCATTTACTTATCTTACCTGGGCTGGGAGGTAAACTGAGGCACTGGGCTGCCAGGATGAGGACTGGGGCTCAAGGAAAGAGAAACTGAGGCAGAGTCCCTTTCCTACCTCTCCTAAGTACCTGTCTCTCTGCCCCCAGACCTACGATGCCTCGCTGAGCCAGCCCAGAATCTGAGTGGAGCCAAGCAGACAGCATCCATGGATGGACCCCTGGCAGGTGGCCTGGCCACCCCAGATCGTCCTCGTGGCCCTGAGAGACTGCCTGGCCCAGCACCAAGGGATGACATCAAAGGTGGGGCCGAGGCTGCTGAGGGGGAAGGTGGCATCTTCCAGTCCACCCATTACCTGCCTGTCGCCAAGGAGGGCCCCCGAGACATTCTGGATGGCAGAGGTGGCATTACTGGTAAGAGGGTGGGCGCTGTGGCAGCACCCGGCCTGGTCACCAAGGCACAGAGGAGACTGGGTCACCTAGCCCAGCAGGGTCCGAGTTGGGATTCTGATTCTGCTTGGGTTCAGAGGCCTGTCTTGGCACTCTGCTTAGTTTCCCATTTTACTGTTGTGAAAACAGAGGCCCAGGGAGGCCTTGATCAAGGCCCCCCAGTGGGTGGTGAGGAGCTGAGGCTTGAGTTCAGTCCCACCTGGCTCCTTCCTCTGGGCACACTAATGCAGTCCAGGTCCCAGCTTAGCCCCCCGAGCTCCCCACCCGGAGCCCACAAGTTCTCCAGGTGCATCTCCTTCCCGCCAGCGTATCCCAGCTCCCTCTTGCTGCACTGTCTTGCTGGGTCCTGCCCCTGAGCCACGGGGAAAACAGCTTGTGCCCTCTAGTGGCTAGGGAGAGACTGAGTAGTCAAGGATGCTAGCCACCCCTTTGTGCCTCGGTTTACCCATCAAAAGTGGATCTCACACTGTCCCTATCTTAAGATTTGTTATTCATTTATTAAATACTCAGCACCTACTATGTGCCAGGCTCTGTTCTAGGCGCTGGGGATACAGCCATAAACAAAAGAGGCAAAAGTCCCTGCCCTCAGGGTCCTGACCTTCTAGTAGGGCATAACAAGCAACTATACAAATAACAGAAGGGCAGGTAGTGACGGATGCTGTGAAGGTATGAAACAGAGTGCCAGGAGAGTGCCTGGCAGACCTGGGAAAGCCTCCTTGAGGGGGTGGAATTTGAGAGGAGCATGGAATGAATGGTGGGAAGGGCAAGCCAGGTGAAAGGAAGAGCAGGGGCAAAGACCCGGTGGTAAGGAGGAGCCTGGCATGTTCAAGGACTAGGCAGGAGTCTCGTCGGGCTGGAGAGTGGTGGGGTAGTGCAGGCTGATGCACCAGACATCTCCCATCATCTCCCTGGCCTGCCCTACAGGGCTTGGCTTCCAGGAACCTCCAAGCACTTTGTCAGGGCTTCCTACATGCCATTCTCAAAAGAACTTTGTAGGGTAGCCTCAATTATGATTATCCATGTTAGAGATGGGGAAACTGAAACCCTGAGGGATTAAGTAAGTTGTCTAAGGTCACGCCCAGGCAGTCACCTGCCTTGATAATCCTTGTCCTTAACCACCACCCTGTGTCAAGGCATCCTTGACCTGCCCCAGTTGTCCCTTAGCGCCACTCATGATGCTCGGATATTTACAGAGCTCCTTCTTGGGGCCAGGCACCAGGGTACAGCAGTAACCAAACACACATACCATCCCCGCCTTTGTGGAACCTGCCATCTGTGGTGGAGGAGAGAGCCACCAGGTGTTATGACACAGTCGCTGAGGATGCAATGGGGGAAGCACGGGGGGGCCTGGATGAGGAGCAGTGAGTCAGGCAAAGAGGGCAGGGGGCATCCGGTCAGCTGGTGCCGTGTACACAACTGTGACAAGGTGACTCGTGGCACCTGAAGGTGTCATGCAGGGGGGTGGCAAAGTGAGACCCCTGAGGGCAAGTATAATCCCCTCCTACAAACCGTTAGTAACAGAAGCCCAGAGACGTGGCTGGCCTGGGACCTTGACTTTGTGGGAGCCCCAGGGAACAGGCTCTGGGGGTCCAGGTCCTCTCTGGGTCTGGTTCTGAGGAACTGGGGGCTGTTTCTCTCCCTGGCAGAAGCCCCAGGTCTGGAGAGTGAGGGAAGGTAGGCAGGTGGGTGCATCTTCACTCCCCTGGGAGTCAATCAGGGTCCAGAGCATGTGCCTGGGTAGAGGGGGAGGTGGCTGCCTCAGGGGGCTGGGCCCACCCTTAATGGTATTCTTGAGCAAATGGGGGCCTGGAGCGGGCGGGGTGGCCTGACTTGGAGTGGGGTCGTGGCCTGGAGGTTGGAGGAGGGCCTGGGCTTTGAACACAGCGTCTCCCCGCTGCCCATTTGCCCTGCTCGACCCCCCTTCCCTGGCACAGGCACCTGCCCTAGGAGTCTTGTGATGCCTATAAATAGGAACAGCCTCTGGGGCTGCTGTTCCACCCCGAAGCCTGGGCCCTCCTTCATCCTTGCCCAGCCCTTGGAGCCCCCCAAGGGCACCCCTGGCGTGGCCACCTCGAGACATCTCCGCCAGGACACGGATGCACCCACTGCCTTCTCTGTCCTCCTTCGTGGCTGTTGGCCTGGAGCCTCCACGCCTCCCGGCAGCCCCCCGCACCATGTTTGGTCTCCCTGGTTGGCTTCCTGGGTGCAGCCGAGGCTTTTGGGGATGAGAGGGTCCACGGATTGGTGAAGAGTGCAGTACATGCCTGGCATTGGGACCCAGGGGCCAAACAACACATCATTTCTGCCCTCGTGGGGCCCCAGGCTGGGGAGGAAATCAGAGCATGGAGTGAGCCGGCCTGAGACTCCAGGTCCAGCCTCAGATGTCTCCAAGCCAGCTCTGACCTTTCAGGCACTCCCACCTCCTTTCCTTTCCCCCACCACTGCCTTTCTGGACTGAGCATTTACTGTGATCTTGTTGGCACCCTTCACTGGCCCTGCAAGACTAGGGTGGTGGCTGTTCCATTATCCAGAGGAGGAACCAGGCTTGGAGTGGGAAAGGCAGGCCCTCAGGTCACTGCTGGGCCCTGAACTCGGATCTTTCTGACTCTGAAGTCTAGATTCTTGGCCACTCTGTCAAGCTGCCTGGCTTGGGGTTCAAGCTGCTCATGGACACCCTTCTCATTTTCCCTCTCTCATTTTCAAACCCTCTCTGGGGCCCCAGATGGCAGGAGTGAATGAGGCCCCTTGGCATGGCCACTGCCAAGGGCTGCATCCTGGGTACCTCGTCTGACCCATAGGGACTTCTGGATCCCCACCAGCTGTGGAGGCCTCTGGACGAGCCCCCCAACCCCCAGGTGTCTTGGACACAGGGCCCTGCTTGGCCTGCTTCCTCCAAAGTTGCTGCCACTAAAAATAGGAGCCTCGCTGGAGCTGCTCAAAGAGGCCAGCGCGGCCCCCTGGCTCGCGGAATTCTTAAACAACAGCAATCGCAGAATCATCGAATCTGGGACGCTCGGAATCTCGGGAGCTTGGGGTCCCAGAATCTCAGAAGCAGGACGCCTGGACCCTCAGACTTGTGCCTCTAGGCTGTGCTTAGGCTTGTTGCTGGTGAACTGGTTGCCCTCTCCTGAGAAGCTCCTGTCTGTGATCCTTGTGTTCTCAAGACACCCCATTATTAGGGGGTCCCTCTCCCTTGGCTGGTCCAGTCCTTGCTTTCCCAACCCTCGAACTCTGTCCCACACCCCACCCTGACCACCTGCCCTTGCATCCAAGCACACCTCTGGCCTGGATCTGCTCCCTATCAGTCTCCACCAGGGGTTCTTGAATGGGGCCAAGTCTGCCCCCAGGGAATACTTTGGCAATGTCTGGAGACATTTTTGGTTGTCGTGACTGTAGGGCCAGGGGCGGGGGCACTGCTGGCATCCAGTGAGTGGAGGCCAGGGATGCTGTTCAACACCCTGGAGTGCACAGGATGCCCCCCCACCACAGAGGGTGACCCGGCCCTGGATTGGAATAGCACCAAGGTTGAGAAACTGCTCCAGACAGTGCAAATTTCTGTACCCCATCACCACCCTCACCTTCCAGAGGCCACTTGACAGCCACAGCCCTCCTCTCAGGCTCAGCAGAAAGTCTCTTGGGCAGTGACCACAACTTTCTGACCACCCTCCTACCCTCGCCAGTCCTTTTAATTCTTTGGCTCCTGACAGTCAGCTCTCAATTTCCTGGGCAAATTGGATGGTGGGGGTTGGACAGAGAATGAGCCCTGGCCCTGGCCCTCTTTCTGGACTGTCCTCCAGTTGAAGCTCATCCAGTAATTGCATCTGTCAGGCTCTGGATGGGGCTCAAGTTACCCCCGTGTGTTAACCTTGGCCTGGGCAATTGGCCTGTGCCCTGATTGGCACGCTTGTCCGAGTCAGGCGGGTGCGGTGGGCAGAGGAGGCGCAGGCCGGGATTCCTGTGGTCGCTCCAGGCATTGGCTCCACAGGCAGATAATGGAGAGTTGGCTCTATCTGTGTGAGGGGTCTCAGCAGGGGATTTGACTGTAGGATGGAGGCCTGGAAGGGGGTCCAGAAGGCAGGGACAGGCTAGAGGGCTCCTCGCTCACCGTCTGACAAGGATTGGTGGAGCACCTGCTATGTGCCAACCTGCTGTGAACGAGGCTTCCAGGGGCTTACGTGCTGGCAGGGGACGCAGGCAAGCAGTCATCCAGAGAAGGGTCTATGCAATTCCAGAGAGTGCTAAGAAAGAAGTGAAACAGGTGATGAGAGAGAAAATCAGGAGGTCACTTTAGTAGATGGCCAGGGAAGGGCTCTCCAGGCAGAGGGAACAGCCAGTGCAAAGACCCCACGGCCAGAAAGAGTTAGGTGGGCTGGAGGCTTCCTGAGGACTGGGGCGGAGGGAGTGAGGGGGCGGAGAGGGAGTTGAGGCTGGAGAGGCCTGCAGAGGCCCCCTGGCAGGGCCTGGTAGGGCAGCTGAGACTCTGGCTTTTAGAGTAGGTATGATGAGAAACTAGGTGAATTTTTACCAGGGTGTGACTTTAAAAAATCACCCTGGCTGCCAGACAGGAGTGAAGAGAAGAGGGTTGAAGGCAGCAAGCCCCTGTGGTCCCCCGGAGAGCTAAGGGGACTCCTCCAAAGAAACCCCTTTCAGGGTTCAGGAGAGCAGAGGCCAAAGGCCTCTCCGGGCAGAGGGATAGGGAGCTGCCGGGCCCTGCTGAGGTGCCTGACAGGGCTCCTGGAGCTGCGGTGCTGTGAAGGGCCCTGGCTAGGGTGACCCCAGCCCCTCAGGGTCTCCCCTCTCTGTTGCAGACGGGCAGCCCCATCCCGGCCTCAGCGAAGCCCTCCCCCGTGCCACCTCCGCCACCCATCGGATCAGCAGCTGGTGAGTGCCACGCTGGCCCTGACCTCAGGGAGGGCAGGGGGGCAAGCAGGATGTGCCCCGGCCCCAGAAGAGCCCCGGGAGTGAGGAGGGGACAGGAGGGAATCAGGAGGCCAGGCAGGAAGAGGTGGCCCCTGGCAGGCAAGCCCCTGGGTGTGTAGGCGGTCAAGGGGTGGACTTGGATGAACACAGACAGTCAACTCTCATTATCCCTGCTGGGAGCTGGGCCAGAGGGGCAGGAGCCTGGAGGTTGGACCCTTGGAGTCCCGTCTCTGGCAGGCAACCCTTAGAACGATGCTAGGCCTCTCTGAGTCTCAGTTTCCTCATCCGTAAAATGGAGTGCCTGAGATGCATCTCATGAACTTGCCTTAAGGACCCAAGGGACGTTGAGTAGGAGCAGGAATCCACAGCAATGCTGACAGCAGCCACCCTCCATTAAAAGGCTTGGGGGGTGCTAATACATAGTAATTGTCAAGTCAGGATTGACAATAGCTTTCCATCGCAGAGCGTGTGCTGCGTGCTAGGCTCCCAGCACAGGTTTGCCTCACTGCATCTTTGCCCCATCCCACGGGGCATGGTCCTGTTAGGGCCGCATGTCACTGATGGGGCTTAGAGAGGTGATTTGTGATTTCTGCTCAGCCTCTCCAGGGAACCGTGTCCGCCTCTGTTCTGTAAGCATGATCGACAGCCCCTGGTGGAGGCAGATGAAGGGAGATGGATCAGGAACAGTCGTAATAAGAACCCACACTGGTCCTGGGCTTACGGGGAGCCAGACATCAGGCCAAGCAAAGTGCTTCCCCAGCCCTGGGTTGTGTCATCCTCACCCTGCATTGCACAAGGTCAAGGGCCCCGTTTGAAAGTCTATGGTTGTGATCATTTAAATAAGCACCTGCTGTGGGTTAAGTTTTCTTTGATTACGGGTGTGAGAAAGCTCCTTACATATTGCATAAGGATGCAAAGGCGCCTGCTTCTTGGGATTTGTCCCCATTTTTAGGACTGGAAAACTGAGGCTCAGTGAGTTTGCCTTGCCTCCTCCTCTCCCAAAGGAGGTCAGGGGCCCAGGGGCCCGGGGCTGAGCAGGGACTTAACCTCTCCTGACTCTGCCCTTCCAAGAGCAGAGATGCAGAGAAATGGTGCATTCCTTTGAGTTGTTTATCCAGCAGAGTTTCACCAAATTTGCTGGAAAGTTGAAACTCAGCTAACTAAATCACCCCAGTTTGGGGAGGACCAAGACAGATGCAGCCTGGAGCACAGGGCAGAGCCTTGGGCCCTCCTGGGGGACAGATGAGAGTTGACTGTGCCACCAGACTTGGGGACACACCTTGTGACCCCAGGTGTGGTCTCTGCACAATCCCCCATGATGCATTGGGGCTGGGCTATGTGGTCAGGTGCATCCTGGGAGGCGAGCCTGGCTTTTGGCCCAAGGGCTCTGGAAGGGTCCACATGTGATACACCCACCTGCCACCCTCACCCCAACACTCCCAGCCCCTCTGAGGCCACCCTCAGGCTGGGTCTCTGGGGCCTGTCTCAGACTGCCTGCAAGACCCCCTCCCTCACCCAAGGAAGGGAAATAGGCCTGTGGCTAACCTGTCACCATTGGCACTTCCTTGCAGCTGCTGGGATGGAGGCAGCCTGGACTTCCGGCCGGGCTCCCCACCTCCCCATCTCCTGGGCCACTTCCCTGGTCCCCCTGATGGTCGGGGGCCCTGGGAGTACCCCCTGGTCCAGGAACCTGGGGAGAGCATCCCATCTGAACAGAGGTTTGAGGACTCAGTCACTGTGAGAACTGTGAAGCCCCACGCTGAGCTCGAGGGCTCTAGAAGGTTCTTGCACCACCAGAGTGAAGCAAAGTTCCTGGAGAAGGCCCCCCGGAGCCGCCCCAGGTTCAACTGGCTCCGAGACACAGATGAGCAGGCCCCACCCCAGGATGCAGGGCTGCGCCTGGACCTGCCATCCCAGCCACCACCCCTCGCCTCCTTCAGGACGGTGCTTGTGCCAGTGGAAGAGAACACTAAGACGCTGGATGTGGCGGTGGTGGGCACCAGAGAGCACCTGGTGGGCCTGGAGGAGCTGGCTCAGCCATCTGATTGGGGCCTGCCCAGGTCGGCCTCTGAGGTAGCCACACAGACCTGGACAGTGAACTCTGAGGCATCTGTGGAGCGGCTGCAGCCACTGCTGCCCCGGATCCGGACAGGGCCCTTCCTGTGTGAGCTGCTAGAGGAGGTGGCCGAGGGGATGGCCAGCCCGGTCGAGGACGAGGATGAGGACGAGGAGCCGGCCGTGTTCCCCTGCATTGAGTGCAGTATCTACTTCAAGCAGAAGGAGCACCTTCTGGAGCACATGAGCCAGCACCGCCGCGCCCCAGGCCAGGAGCCCCCCGCCCACCCGGCTCCGCTGGCCTGCGGTGAGTGTGGCTGGGCCTTCGCCGACCCAGGCGCCCTTGAGCAGCACCGGCAGCTGCACCAAGCCTCGAGGGAGAAGATCCTCGAGGAGATCCAGAAGCTGAAGCGTGTGCCGGGCGACGAGGGCCGGGAGGCGCGGTTGCAGTGCCCCAAGTGCATCTTTGGCACCAATTCCTCCAAGGCCTTTGTGCAACACACCAAGCTGCACGTGCGCGAGCCGTCAGGCCAGGCTGCCAAGGAGCCCTTCGGGGGCAACAGCGGGGCCAGCAGCCTGGGCCCTGATGCCACTGCCCTCGCCTATCACCCCTATGGAGACTCCTCGGGCCTCAGTGCCTGCCTTTTCTGTGGCTTCCCTGCGCCCAGTGAGAGCCTGCTTAGGGAGCACATGAGGCTCATGCATGCTCGTCCCCACTGGGAGGAGGATGGCGAGGCTTTTGAGGAGGACGCCGCCAGCCAGCCAGGCACCAGCCAAGACATGTATGCCCGCTTCCCTGATGCCGCTGAGGACTACTTTGGCAAAGCTGAACCGCTCTTGGCCCCTACGTGGCAGGAGAACCCTGCTGGATACGACCCCAGCCTGGCCTTTGGCCCAGACTGCCAGCAGCTGGGCATGAGGGATTTCCCACTGTCAAAGCCACTCCCGCACAGCTCCAGCCAGAGGCCCCTGGCGAGGCCAGCCTTCCCCTCACCGCTAGCATCGGCCCCCTACTCCTTACAGCCCGGGAGAAACAAGAGCGCCTTCCACCCACAGGGGCTCCCAGCCCAGCTTGGGGACCGGAGGCACCCTTGGAGTGAAGAGGAGGAGGAGGGCATACCAGTGGCCTCAGAAATGGACTTTTCCCCTGAAAATGGGGTCTTTTCTCCCCCAGCCACTCCCAACCTCATCCCACAGCTGGCCCTGGAGCTGAAGCGGACTTTCCGAGAAGCCCTGCGGGCCGCCGAAGCCTCACAGGCACAGCAGCAGCAGCTCCACGGGATGGTCCCCGTCGTGCTGGTGGTGAAGCTTGGGCCGCAGGTCATGGCTGCAGCGGCCAGGGCACCCCCAAGCCTGCAGCCCGAGGAGCTGGGGCTGGGGGGCACCCACCCCCTGGACTTCCTGCTCCTGGACTCACCGCTGGGCGGCCCGCTGGGGCTGGACACGCTCCTGGATGGGGACCCGGCCGTGGCACTGCCGCCCGAGGAGCGGAAGTGCCCCTACTGTCCTGACCGCTTCCACAACGGCATCGGGCTGGCCAACCACGTCCGTGGCCACCTGAACCGCGTGGGCGTCAGCTACAATGTGCGGCATTTCATCTCCGCTGAGGAGGTGAAGGCCATCGAGCGCAGGTTCTCTTTCCAGAAGAAGAAGAAAAAAGGTATGGCGGCTTGGCTCCAGCACCCACTCCCTGTGAGGCCAGGAGACGAACGGCTGGGTGGCTGAGTTCTGAACCAACCAGCTCTCCATCTAAATCCTCCCTGGTGCAGAGTAGGGTGAAGTCGGGGGCTCCCCGCCGGGAAGACCTGGGAGCCACAGCAAAGGACACCATGTCGGTGGGGGTGGGGACGCCCCAATGCCCCAGCCCTTCCAGCGGCTGGAGGAAGGAGTCAGCGCCAGGGAGGGAATTTCATTTACTCCTTATTTGTACAAATACCTATTGAGTGAGGTCCCCTCTGTTCTGGGCACTTGGGGACACAGCAGTCAAGGAAACAGCAGTCCCTGTGCTCCTGGAGTCCACGGCCCGTCACAGGAGTGTTGGGACCCTGGCCAGCGTCAGAAGCCCCCAGGGCTGCCTGTGAGGTGTGCAGATTCCCAGGCCCCCAGGTTCGGACTCTGGAGGTCTGACTCCAATGCAAGTGCCCTGGGTGGTTCTGACACTGGCAGACGTGGAGCCTATCTGGGGAGGTCCTCTATGGTGTTTGAGAGTGTGTGTGTGCGTGCGCATGCCTGCATGTGCACGCTGGGAGAGCAGGGCAGGGGGCGGACAGCCATGAAAGCAGGCAGTTACGATGCTGAGTGACCAGGCCTGTGATGGGGGGAGGCTCAGGGAACCAGGAAGTTGGGGAAGCCGAGAGGAGTCCCTGACTCCACCGGGGGTCCTGTCCTTTTGTCCATTTCTTCATTCAACAACGATTTAATTCACAGCACTGGGGTGATGGTGAGCAAAAACAGACATGAGCTCTAGACGTGAGAAGGGTATTAATCAAACATGCCCAAATGCTTGCACATCCACAACTGGAGAAGTGTTTCTGAGGCTGCGAGCTCTGGGAGGTCAGGCAGAGAAAATTTCTTGGAGCAGGAGGACGTGTGATCTGACACCGCCGACAGGAGCGTGAAGGGCAGAGGGGAAGGGGGGCATCCAGGCTGAGGAACAGCACTGGCTGTGTGACCCAAGGAGGGTGAGCAGCCCTGGGGGCGGGGAGGGCTGGGGCCAGAGAGTCGCCCCCACAAGGCAGTCCATGTCCTCTCTCCCTCCACAGTGGCTAACTTCGACCCGGGCACCTTCAGCCTGATGCGTTGTGACTTCTGCGGGGCCGGCTTTGACACTCGGGCTGGCCTCTCTAGCCACGCCCGGGCCCACCTGCGTGACTTCGGGATCACCAACTGGGAGCTCACTGTCTCGCCCATCAACATCCTGCAAGAGCTGCTGGCCACCTCAGCATCTGAGCAGCCCCCCAGCCCCCTGGGCCATGAGCCTGGGGGGCTGCCAGGTGGCTTCCTGACCTCCCGCCGGCCCCGCTTACCTCTCACAGTGCCCTTCCCACCCACATGGGCTGAGGACCCTGGGCCAGCCTACGGAGATGGTAAGAGGAGAGGGGGCAGGCAGAGCTGGAGCCCTGGCACTTCCCAGGGGCCCAGAGGGATGGAGGGGTGGGAGGGTGGCAGCCATTCCACTTCCACTTTCCCAGAAGTGTTTCAAGTCACTTTACAAAGTATTTTGACAACCATCCTCACAACCGCCCTGCCACTTTGGGGTCATTTGTGTTTTACTCTGAGGCCAGGCTAGGGCTGCTTCTGGATCCAGTCCTCTCTGCCCAGATCAATAGTGACTTTAACATACATGCTCTTACTAGGAGCCAGATACTGTTCTAAGCACTTTACAAACACCAACTCATTTACATCCTCACAACAACCCTACAAGGTGGGTGTTATTATTATCCCCATTTTACAGATGAGGAAACTGAGGCACAGAGAGCTTAATTAGTTTGCCCAAGGTCACACAGCCAGAAGTAGTAGAGCTGGGATTTGAAACCACGGGCAGATCAGGCTCTAGAATCCTTGCTCTTAATAACATCTATGTAGAGCAGTGTTGTCCGATGGAGCTTTCTGAGATGATGGAAATATTCTCCAGATATCTGCGCTGTCCTGAAGCATATGTCACCACTGGTCACATATGGCTGTTGAGCACTTGAAATACAAGGCTAGTGCAAGATTAGTGGCAATGCTGTTGGACAGGGCAGATCTAGATTTTCAATGGTGCTTACTTTGTCTGACAGCATCGATAACCCTCCCATAGTCGAGTGCTTGCTGTGTACTAAGGTTTCATCTCATTTACACCTCAAAACAATTCTGTGGGGCTAAGGATGACTGTGTTCCTGCTTTATGGATAAGGAAACTGTGGGTCATCTGCTTTGCCATCGTCACAAAGCAGCAGAGCTAGACTTCTGAACACCATGTTCGGTGGTCTTGCCAGTGGAGGACAGCTTGGGAAATCCAGAAGTAATGTTTTGGTGAAGGAGCCTGTAGCTGGTCACGGCAGAGCCTAGAAAGGTGAAGGACCCAGGCTTGCAAAGCCTGACTTTGTGGGAGCCTTTACTAAACCTCAAGGCAGAAAACTTGGCAGTGAGGGGTAGGCAGGCCCTGGGGAATAGAGAAGGTGCCTGAACAGGAGGCACTGTCCAGGGGCTGCTTGGGGCTGAGGCTTCCTTCCATGTTTCTCCTACCTGGAGCTTCCAGGTTTCTATCTAGATCTGTACTCTAGGCTTGGCTGGACCCATCCGCAAGCCCCCTGACCAGAGAAGGGCACTTGAGGGTCTGCAAAGGGGTGGGTGGAGTTATCAGAGCCCGCTCTCCTCCTTGGACAAGGAGACTGAGGCACAGAGAGAGGATAGTGGTTGGTTAAGGTCACACTTCTGGGAGAGGCAGAGTGGGGATGTGGCCTCAGGCTTCTTGCTTCTGCTGAAGGCTGTCTTCTGGGCATTCAGCTCACACACCTGGCTAAGTTTGTGCTGTCTCAGGGGTGGCTGGGAGGTTGAGCCAGCTCTGTGGATGGCTGGAGGTCACAGGAAGCAGTTTGTAGGCTCCAGCCCTGCCACCTTCTTTCTCTGTCACCTGGGTAGAGGCCTGAATGTCGGGCTCACACCCCTTACTTGGCACCTGGGCCAGGCACCCCAGGGATGGGAGGATGCACCTAGCAGTCCGGTTCAGCTGTTGCTAAGCTGCTTCCACGGGAAGACCAATGCACAAGCCCCCAGTTAGTGCTGGCGGAGCTGGCCAAGCTACTGGGATGTGAGGAGTCGGCATGGCATTGCCCTGGCCTTGTCCTTGTGAGGTGGAGCTATGATCAGTCTTTCGGTGACACCTGGAGGGCAGGGGGCGGTTCAGGAGTGGTTGACAAGATCCTGGAAGGCTTGCCTTGAGGAAGGATACCCAAGATCAAGGCTAGGTCTGGGCACTGGCCCTGCTCGGCTGTCCTTAGAAGCCTCTCCCACCCCTCCCTAAGTGGGCCGTGGGGGCGGGTGCCAGGTTGGGGGCGGGGCAACAGTCAGATTCTAGCCCCACCCAGCTGTCAAGGAACAGCTGTGGGCAACCGGTTTGGTGTTGGGGAGGAAGCGAGCTGTGCTTGAAATGTGGTGCCGGCCACGTGGGGAGTTCCGTAAGACTGCGGGACAGCGCCGTCGGGGGACACTTGGATACCAGGATGATGCTGGGGGGGATCCTCGTGGTTGGGGATCGGATGTCTTCCAGGATTCCCGACCCGGAGGGAGACCCAGAGGGGAAGGGAATGGAGCAGGGTCCCAGGGCAGGTCCTAGTTCCGCCTGTTGGGGCTCCGGGAGCCTGGACGATGTTAGGGCGGGCGGACGCGTGTGGCCGGAGGAGTCCCATCCTAACTTTAGGGATATCCGGGTAGGGGAAAGTGTCCCTCCCCGCCGAGGCCCAGGCCGGGGCGGCAGTTGGCGGCCGCTCGGGCACGGCGTGAACGCCTCTGCGAGCCGGCGCGGGCAGCTCGGTGGCTCCAGCCCCCGCCCGCGGGGCCGAGACCAGCGCGGCGCTCAGCCCTCGGTGCTCGGCCGGCCGCCCTGGGCGCGCCCGAGGGGCGGGGCGGGGCGGCGCTGCGCGGCGCGGCGCTCGGCGCTCGGCTGAGCCCGCCTGGCGCGGCTGCCCCGCGTGCGCCGGAGCCAAGATGGCCGCCTCCACCGCCCAGTGCCGAGTGACAAAAGCGGAGAGCAGGGCGGCGGCGGGGCCGCGCGCGGGGGGCGCCCGGGAGCGCGCGCCCGCGGGGGCGCCCCCGCCCGGTCCCCCGAGCCCGGGGCCCCGCGGCCTCCCCGCCGCCGCCGCCGCCCCCGCCGCCGCCGCGCCGCCGCCGCCGCCGCCGTCGCGGGACGGGCCCAAGGCCGAGCCGGAGCCGGGCCCGCGCCCGCGCCCGCGCCGGGTAAGAGCCCGCGCCGCGGAGGGCGCAGCGGGGAGCCGGCGTCCCGCCGCGCCCGCGCCGCCGGCGGCCCGGCCCGGGGCCCTTCCCGGCCCCCCCGGCCTCCCTGGCCTGTCCGCGCGTAGCGTCCCAGGCTTGGGACGCTCTCTGCCGTCCGGGACGCCCGCGCGTCTGACAGATGCCTCTGCCCCCGAAGCCCCGGCCCTCCGGCGCCGAAACCTGCTCCCGGGCGGCCCGGCGCGGCCCGGCCCCCTCACGGACGCGCGTGTCCTCGGCGTCTCCAGCCGGTGCCCCGCCGGCCTTCTCCCGGCTTCCGGGGCCTCAGACTCGGCGGGGGCCTGCCTGGCCGCTGCTCGGCTGAGCGCCTCCGAGGCCCCTCTGACACAGCCCTTCATCCTCGGCGCCCCCTCCCTGCCCCGGACGCCAAACCTGAGCTCAGCAAGCCCCTCTGGCCCCTTGCTCTGAAAAATTAGACGTGGGAACGCGCCTTGGACTCCCTGTTCGCACGCACATCTCCCCCGGGGAAGCTTCCTGGCCTGATAGATGCCTCCAAAACTTCTTAGAAAGTTCTGTGATTCTCACACTTCCTGTCCGCAGCCAGAGCCTTGCGGGCCCGGGCTCCCAGTTCTCACCGGACCCCGCTTAGGGCTCAGCTGTGATGTGCAGGCCACTCCGGGACCCCCAGTTGTCTCTGCAGCCCCAGCCCTCTCACCTGGTGGACATTCTGCCCTGTCCTTGGCTCCCCACCTCTGCATTGCCTCTCTGGCTTCTGACCCTGGCTTTCCCTTACCGAGTTCTGGTTCTGATCGCCCCCAGGACTGACAGTTGCTCCCCTCCACAAGTTCTGCCCAGAAAGATATTTCCTCTGAGATCTCCTAGGATGGGAGTCTCAGCTCAGACTAGCACTACGTCCCCTGACCTGTCTGTGTTTTGGTGGGTGGAAGCTGCTCCCAGTGTCTGCTGTCAGTGGGCAGCCTCAACGTCCATGCGTCATACTGGTGCTGGGGGTTATGGATGGAGCCTCAGCTTTCATGGGATGTGCTGCCTCCCAGAGTGAGAGCAGGCGCCAAGGATGAGGAATAAGGCACTCCCTCCCACCACTACTGCGCCCCCACCCTCAGTCCTTCCGGGGATAGACAGGCACATTTTGCCTGGGCTGAGCCTGTCTTCCTAACCTCACAGGCCTGGGTTCTGAGGAAAACGCAATGGTAGCCATGGACTTGGGCTCCTCACCGCTCCCCAAGAAGAGCCTGCCTGTCCCTGGGCCCCTGGAGCAGGTGGCCAATCGGCTGAGCAGCAGAGTGGCTGCAGAGGTTCCTCATGGCAGCAAGCAAGAGCTGCCAGACCTCAAGGGTGAGTGGCCAGGTGATAGTGGCCAGGCTGGTCACACTCACAGAGAGCTCTTGGGCCTGGGGGTTCATGCAGGGTCCCAGGTTTGCCTTCTGTCCGGCACCCCAAGGCACCAAGGGGACACGTGGCTGTCCTCTCTTGAGCTTCTGCTGCCCTGGGCATGCATGGCCTTGGGCTGCACCCTCACAGGGCATTGGGGGGCATCCAGAGAAGCAGTGGACATGGTTGTCAAGAGCTCATACTCAGACCAAGGTCATTTGCTGACTTTGATTCTCATTAGCTGTGTGATCTACATGACACTGCCTTGTCTGTCTGTTGATTCTCAGGTCTTTACTGAGTTGCAACAGGCACTGTGATGGATCCCAGAGATGTGAGAGATGCAAAACAGAGCTAGTGCTTGTTCTTGGGGTCACTGAAGCTGAGGAGCAGGGAGGTAGGGAAGCAGACTCGGGGGATAAGGGCTCTGCAGGAGAGGCTGCAAGGCATCACAGGCCCTGGGGCCGGGGCCTCCAACCCAGCATTTGGGCCAGGAATTGAGCTGCGGAGGGTGGCTAGGACTTAGCTCTGTGAAGCCTGTGCCTGCCAGGTCAGCGTGTGTGTGAAAACCTGTTGCCAGGACACCCTGATACATTGGAGTTCCGAAAGGCATTCCACTGGCTGGACCACAGAAGGGCTCTGCCTCCTGCTGGATGCTCTTGGGCACAACCCTTCTCTCTGAGACTCAGTTTCCTTATTTGTAAACTGGACAGGCTAATTCCTGCTTCATTAGGGTCATTTTAAGGATCAAGAGGGCTTGACAGAAGCAGAACACTTGCAGGGAGCTGGAGTGAGAGAGGGCCCCCGGGGGGGAGAATTGGCAGAGTGGGCCCATGGGGCTTCACAGCTTGCTCTCTTGGCCTCCGTCTCGCCCTCCAGCCCAGAGCCTGACCACCTGCGAGGTCTGCGGTGCCTGCTTTGAGACACGCAAGGGCCTGTCCAGCCACGCGCGCTCCCACCTGCGGCAGCTGGGGGTGGCTGAGTCGGAGAGCAGCGGTGCCCCCATCGACCTCCTCTACGAGCTCGTGAAGCAGAAGGGCCTGCCTGACACACCCCTTGGGCTGCCCCCAGGCCTGACTAAGAAGTCCAGCTCGCCAAAGGAGGTGGTCGCTGGGGCCCCCCGACCCGGCCTGCTCGCCCTGGCCAAGCCCCTGGATGCCCCTGCTGTCAACAAGGCCATCAAGTCACCTCCTGGCTTCTCGGCCAAGGGCCTGGCCCACCCACCCAGCTCCCCACTTCTCAAGAAGGCACCACTGGCCCTGGCGGGCTCCCCTACCCCCAAGAATCCTGAGGACAAGAGCCCCCAGCTGTCCCTGAGCCCCCGGCCGGCCTCCCCAAAGGCACAATGGCCCCAGTCTGAGGACGAGGGGCCCCTGAACCTCAGTGAGTGCGGGTCCTGGGAGCTGAGGGGGGTCCTTTGGGGTGGGGGCCTCAGAGCCCAGGGTGGGGGCAGTGGGGGCTGCAGCTCCTGCGTCCTGGTTGACTGGGTCAGAGTGTTGGTCAAGGTGCTGCATCTCCCGTTGGGCCGGCCGCGCTGCGTGTTATCATCTGTCTCCCACTTTACTTTGCTGCTCTTCCCCCTGGAGGCCTGGCTGGGGCTGAGCCTCCCAGGGCCATCCTCGCCACGTGGGGCAGCTTTTGGTCTTCTCTGGGCCTGAGAGTTGGGGCAGTGAAGGCACCCAGGGCTCCCACGGGGCATCTTGGGTCCTGCAGGTAGACAAGTGGTTTGCCTGACAGGAGGTCCCGTGCTTGCCCCTGTCTTCACATCCTCCTGGCTGTCCTGTGCAGAAGTACCTCTGCCTGTGCCCAGGGGTGGGACCGTGCCTCCTGGGCTGCCTGTGGGCATGGCAAAGTATAGTTTGGGGAAAAACCCAGGCGCGGTGAGCAGGTTTAACGAGAGCATCCCTTTGGAAGTCGGGTCTTTCCACACATTTGCTGGCCCAGGGTCTGGCTCCTGGACCACCAGGGCACCCCAATTGGCACCTCTTGTTCTGTTGAAGCTGCTTCCTGTCTGCATTGCTTCCAGGAGCAGGGCCCTGAGCAGGTGTGCCCTTGGCTGCATGATGCTTGGCAGCTGGCGGGGCCCTGCTTTGCACCCGCCACCTACCCTGTGCTGTTCCTGAAGCTGGGGTCCCAGGAAAAGGGCCTGGGAGCATCAGGTGGTGCCACGGGAACTTGGCCACTGCCTCTCCACCCCACATCCTTAAGCTCTCCACACTCACCTTGATGCCAAAGGGCTAGGCAGGGAATAGGACTTCCTGCTTCCCAAAACCTCTTAAAATAAATTTGCGGCACGAGTCTTGGACCCTGAAAGGCCTGCGCAGCCGAGAGTCGCAGCAGGCCCTCCTGCCTCAGTCCCCCAGGGCCGGCCAAGGTGGCGGCCGTGAACCCCCCCTGTGTTTTGTCTCCGCAGCTTTAGATAGTGACGGGGGCAGAGAGCTGGACTGCCAGCTGTGTGGTGCCTGGTTTGAGACCCGCAAGGGCCTGTCCAGCCACGCCCGTGCCCACCTGCGCCACCTGGGCGTCAGCGACCCGGACGCCAAGGGATCCCCCATAGACGTGCTCCACGGGCTCATCAGGAGGGACGGCGTCCAGATCCGCCTCCCACCCGGGCGCGGCGCCCTGGCCCAGCTGGGGCGGCCATCTCCCGCCTCCGCGGCCCTCTCCTTGCTCCCCCCCCAACCGCCGGCCAAGAAGGCCAAGCTGAAGGCCGCGGGTACGGCCAGCCCCTGGGGGAAGCAGGACCTCTCGGCCGCCACAGCCGCCGGCATTTTCTGGGCCTCTGATGTGGAGCCGTCTCCTCTCAACCTCTGTAGGTTCTCGCTTCAGCCGCCCCTCCTCCCTGCGGGCCCTGGAGCCCCTCCCCGGGGGAGGGGGTTGCGGCCCCTCCCTACTCCCTCTCTGCTGGGGCAGGGAGTGGACAGGGGCCCTTGGCAGTGGGCCGGTTCTGCCCAGAGATCTTGTTAGCAGTCAACTGCTATGCCCTCTCTCTTGGCCTTTGACCTCCATGACTGTGACCTTCCCTGAGAATGAAGGCCAAGGGTCGGGTGCTGCCTTTTGGTGTGGAAGGTGCCCACAGTTGCCCCTGGTCTGGATGGCATGTGGCACCTAGGCTACCACTTCCTGCCCTCTTGCCCCCGTCCTTGTTGGAACCCACAGAGCTGTAGTCTTGGTTCCATCCTTCTCTGCCAGGACCAAGGGCGCGTGTGCTCCCTGGAGCCTCCCCTTGCTCCTGCTGGGTGTCCGCCCCCCCGCCCCCGACTCCTCAGCTCCCTCGCTGACGCCTGCCCTCCACCACCACCCTGGCCCATGGGCATGCTGCCGGCCACCCCCGGCTGACCAGGAGACCCGCAGGTGACGACGTAACAGTGCCCAGGATGCTAACTGTTCCTCTCTCCTGCTGCAGCCTCGGGCCCAGAGCCAGCTCGCGACATCCGCTGTGAGTTCTGTGGCGAGTTCTTCGAGAACCGCAAGGGCCTGTCAAGCCATGCACGCTCCCACCTGCGACAGATGGGTGTGACCGAGTGGTATGTCAACGGCTCGCCCATCGACACGCTGCGGGAGATCCTCAAGAGACGGACCCAGTCCCGGCCTGGCGGAGCCCCAAACCCGCCGGGGCCCAGCCCCAAAGCCCTGGCCAAGGTGGTGGGCAGCGGAGGTCCTGGCAGCTCACTGGAAACCCGCAGCCCTGCGGACCTTCACCTCTCGCCCCTGGCCAAGAAGTTGCCGCCGCCACCAGGCAGCCCCCTGGGCCACTCACCAACTGCCTCTCCTCCCACGGCCCGGAAGATGTTTCCAGGCCTGGCTGCACCCTCCCTGCCCAAGAAGCTGAAGCCTGAACAAATGCGGGTGGAGATCAAGCGGGAGATGCTGCCAGGGGCCCTTCATGGGGAGCCGCACTCATCTGAGGGTCCTTGGGCGACGCCACGGGAAGACATGACCCCCCTGAACCTGTGTAAGTGTGGCCCTGGGGCAGGGCAAGGAGAACAGGTAGAGGGGTCTCCCCCCGCCCTCCCCCCTTGGGGGTTCCCAGAGAACCCAGGGTTGAAATGGAAGGGAAAATACAGGTCCAGAGGACAAAGGGCTAACTGTGTGTCCCTGCTACCCAGACCCCCAACTGAGCTGCTTCTTGATTCTCCTTCACTCATACGGGGATGTAGGACTCTGTTGTTCAGCGATGGCAAAAAGGTTTTCTCGTGCCATCTTCAACCAGTTGGTAGTGGCTGGCAGATTCCTATTCCCAGGGAGAAAGACTGCAGGGAACAATCAGTGATGTCTGCCATGGGCAGGAGTAGAGGGATGTAAGTAGGTGTCTGCACTGTGTCTTTCTGATATTCCTGGTCACCGAGCGCTCAACATTTGGAGTCAGGTTTGAGTTAAGATCTCAGCTGCTCCACAGGCTAGCAATATGTGACCTTGGGCAATTTTCCTCCTTTGGAAGGTGGAGATCAGCCTGGTCCCAGCTTTCTGTGGTTTTTTGAGGTGGTATGAAGCACTGGGCACGGTGCCCAGTGAAGCAAACCTCTGTGTATGCAGTAGTAGTAGTGTCACTGTCCCTCGCTTCCCTCTTACACTGTTGCTGTGTTTGTCCTGCTCAGCTTGGCCGGACCCCTGCTGTGTGCGGTGCAGGTGAGGATGGCCCAGGCCACTGCCTTAGCGCTCGTGTGCGTTTCATGCCTGCTCTGTGCCCCGTGCTTGAACTGCTCCCACTCTGGGCCCTCCCAGGAACCCAGGGAGGTGGTTTCCATCTCCATTTTGTGGTGGAGGAAACTGAGGCTCAGAGAGGAGAAGTGGCTCGCCCAGCATCACACGGGGTTACAGCCACGCTGGTGTCTGAGCCCGGAATTGAAGGAAGACTTGTTCCTCAACACTTCATGGTCCACAGGGAGTTGATGTGAAGCCAGCTAGCTAGAATCTGAGGTGACAGAACACGCAGAAGGGCTGGATGATGTACACAAGGGCCCCTGGAGGCAGATGAGGGAGAGGGTCCTTCAAGTCTGGCGCTGCATGGATGGGGCAGCCGGGCATTTAACACTGGCCTTGAGCTTGGAGGCTTCCTGCCTGCAGCCGCCGCCTCCTTCTCCTCCTCCTTCTCCCCAACCCTGGACCCCCTGCAGCATCGCGGGCAGAGCCGGTGCGTGACATCCGCTGCGAGTTCTGTGGCGAGTTCTTCGAGAATCGCAAGGGTCTGTCAAGCCATGCACGCTCCCACCTGCGGCAGATGGGCGTGACTGAGTGGTCCGTCAATGGCTCGCCCATCGACACGCTGCGGGAGATCCTCAAGAAGAAGTCCAAGCCGTGCCTCATCAAGAAGGAGCCACCAGCTGGCGACCTGGCCCCTGCCTTGGCTGAAGATGGGCCCCCCACGGCGGCCCCTGGGCCCATGCAGGCCACCTTGCCGCTGGTGCCCATGGCTGGCCGGCCCAGCAAACCAGGAGCTGGGCTGGCCCAGGCTCCCCGCGAGCTCAGCCTGGCACCCATCACTGGGGCCAAGCCCTCAGCCACTGGCTACCTGGCCTCGGTGGCAGCCAAGCGGCCCCTGCAGGAGGACCGCCTCCTCCCAGCAGAGGTCAAGGCCAAGACCTACATCCAGACTGAACTGCCCTTCAAGGCAAAGACTCTCCACGAGAAGACCTCCCACTCCTGTAAGCAGTGGGTGGCAGGGTCCCGGGAGGGCATCTGCCAGGGCCAGCAAGGCCAGGCAATGCTGTGCACACCCTGACCCCCAGCAGGGGCCCCATGGCAAGGCCCCGTGGGAGGCGGGACTGGCTCCCAGCCTGGGCAGCACCTTCTGGGTTCCCTTGCCCTCTTTGGGCTAAGGCTCAGCAGCACCCCTCTGCCTGCAGCCACCGAGGCCTGCTGCGAGCTGTGTGGCCTTTACTTTGAAAACCGCAAGGCCCTGGCCAGCCACGCACGGGCGCACCTGCGGCAGTTTGGCGTGACAGAGTGGTGCGTGAACGGCTCGCCCATTGAGACGCTGAGCGAGTGGATCAAGCACCGGCCCCAGAAGGTGGGCGCCTACCGCAGCTACATCCAGGGCGGCCGCCCCTTCACCAAGAAGTTCCGCAGCGCCGGCCACGGCCGCGACAGCGACAAGCGGCCGCCCCTGGGGCTGGCACCCGGGGGCCTGGCTGTGGTGGGCCGCAGCGCCGGGGGTGAGCCGGGGCCTGAGGCTGGTCGGGCGGCCGATGGTGGGGAGCGGCCTCTGGCAGCCAGCCCACCAGGCACTGTGAAGGCCGAGGAGCACCAGCGGCAGAACATCAACAGTGAGTGCTGGCGGGGAGGGTCGCGAGGGAGCAGCGGCCTGCCGTCTTCCCTGCTCCGCGTCGCCAGTCGCTTCCTCAGTTGCTCACTCACTCACTCATCTGTCTGCCATCCCGCCTGTGCCAAGGTTCAGGCAGGGTCCAGTCCCCAGCTTCCTGTCTTCCAGTTCCCCTCAGCATCCACCCTTGCTTGCTGAAGGCAGGGACCTCCCCGGAGGCCTCGGAGGCCTCGCTTTCCCACTTATCTCCCATCCCTCTCCCCACCTCAGAATTTGAGCGCCGACAAGCCCGCCCTCCAGACACCTCTGCGGCCAGAGGGGGCGAGGAGGCCAGTGACCTGCAGCAGAAGCTGGAGGAGGTGCGGCAACCCCCACCCCGGGTCCGGCCAGTCCCCTCCCTGGTGCCCCGGCCCCCCCAGACGTCACTTGTCAAGTTCGTTGGCAACATCTACACCCTCAAGTGCAGGTACACAGCCCCCGGGAGAGGGAGTGAGACCACCACCTGGGGCTTGGCCACCTAGAGCCTCCAAACGGGACAGGGGCTGGTGGGGTTTGGAAGATGTAGCCTTGAGGACTGCCTTGGGTGTGGCTGGACCCAGGCTCAGGGCTGCTCACAGATGGCAGCACCTCCGAGCATTGGGCTGAGACCCTGATCTTGGTAGCCAGTGAGACTTGGGTTCAAATGTTGCCTTTAACATTTATCAGCTTAATGACTTTGAGTAAGGACTACCTGCTCCATGCCTCAATATTCCCACCTGTAAAATGGGGTTGATAACAGACCTACCTAATAGATTTGCTATGAAGATTAAAAGAGTTGAGTTATAAGACACTTAGAACTGTGCCTGGCACAGGTAAGTGTTCCACGGGTGTCTGCCTGATTAGGAGAAAAACAGGTCTTAGTTCATTGCTCCCAAAGTTCAGGTGTACATCGGAGGCCAGGAAACTGGGAGTCTGAGACGTAAGGTGGCCTGCCTCAGGCCGCACAGGCCAGGTCAGAAATAGGGTTCCAATCCAAGTCTCTGAGCCACAAGCTCAGGTTCTGGGCCTTTGCGCTGTGAGGCATCCCTAGGGGCCTTGGGGGTGGGGAGCTGGTGAGTTGGGTGCATGCGCAGGGTGGGTTCAAGTTTGTGTCTGGCCCCCTTCCCTGGCCCCACTCCTTCTGTCCTGGAGCCTGGCGTGGTGGGACCTGCTTCTCGGTGCCCTCACCCGTCTGAGGTCCCAGGCTTCAGTCAGATGACAGGTGCTCAGGAAGCCCAGTGGCCCTTACCCAGCATCTGAGCCAACAGATCAGATGGCCCTGAGCATAGAAATGGGGGTCTCCAGGGGACCCTGCCATGACCTCTGACGGGTAGAGCCAGCTGTCCAGAGGGGAACATCTGGCTTCTGGGTCCCTCATCCTGGGCTTGTTCTGTCCACATTGAATAGCAGCAGGTATGCCCGATGCTCAGGGCATGGCCAGGGGCTGGAGACCTGGGCAGGGCCATGCTTCCACCTCTCCTCCCAGCAGCGGCCACTCCTCTGTTTCCCCACACAGGTTCTGTGAAGTGGAGTTCCAGGGGCCCCTCTCCATCCAGGAGGAGTGGGTGCGGCACTTACAGCGGCACATCCTGGAGATGAATTTCTCCAAAGCGGACCCGCCGCCTGAGGAGCCCCAGGCCCCGCAGGCACAGACAGCAGCGGCAGAGGCGCCCTAACACAAAAGCATTCCAGATCCCCTCTTGTGCCACCTCTGTCTCCTCTTCCTCCTCCATCCCCCTCTCCCTCTTCTCCCTCTTTCTTTTCCGTTTCCAAAGGAGCAAGCCAAAACCTCAAACCGGTCCCCTTTGGGGGCCGGGCACACTACAGCCTGGGCGCCAGGAGCCAGCTAGCTGCCCTTCCCCAGCCCGGGGACTCTGGGGCCACACACAGGGCGTCTTCCTTCAGCCCATGCCCACCTGGTCCAGCAGGAGCAGCGGCCAGGTTCTGGAGGCAGCCGATCTGGTCACAGGAGGAAGGCCATCACTCCCCCTTGTCTAGCAGCCAGGCGGGGCTGTGTTTCCCATCCGTGGCCATTTGCAAAGACCCCAAAGACCCCTGTCCTGGTTCCCTCTTGCCTCCCTAAATATCCTCTCACATACATACACACGTGAACACGCGCACGCACGCACCTCGTGAGACCCGGGACCTGCCCCAGCCCCCCAGTTCCTGAGTTGACCACGTCATGCCACGGTGCTTGCTCAGGGGAGGGCACACTCCCTCTGTGTCCGCCAGGGCCTGGGAGCCCCCACTGAGCCCACGATGCCACGGAAATCCTTGTTGGCCACCCCCGCCCCTCTAGAGGGGCCTTCCCAGCCAGGAAGAGCTCAGAGCTGACAGCTGCCTCCTGCCATGTCAAGGTCCCCCAGAGCCTGGGGGCTCCGGAGCCTGGGAGGGGGTGGGGGTGGGACTCCCCCCCCCGCCCCCTCCCTCTTTTCACTGTTGCTTTCTATGTATAGCTCCCTAGACCTTTCACTTTTTTAAAAACGCGTTTTGTGTAGAGAATAAGGAACGTGGATCTTTTATTTTGCAATCCTGGGCCAGCTAGAAACCGGGAGCTGATTTACCTTTTAACTTTTTCAGTGGCCACATTTTGGTTATCAATGTACCTAGAAGTATGTAAATTAGATTAAATTTCTCTTCTGGCAACACCCCGGGGCAGGCGGCCAGCGTGTGTTTTTCTGTCGAGTGGACAGGCTGGCATCATCTGGCAGCCAGAGCTGAGATCGGGCTTCCTTCTCCCAGAGCTCCCGGGGGCCCTGGGTTTTCCCATTGGCTGCCAAGCCAACCAGACCTGGCTAGGGCTGAGCCCAACTTCCCAGCTCTTGGCCCTCGATGGCATGGCTGATGGGGGCTCTGGCCGGCTGGCGAAGTGGCTTCTGTGAGCAGAGCAGAGGAGAGGAACCAGGGCTCTGGACAGCTGGTCTTGAGAGGGAGCCAGGATGGAGAAGCGATTGAGGCCAGAAGGGCTCTCTGAGGGCAGGAGCTGTCCAGTGAGGGTGTAGGGGACCCACTGGGTGAGGGAGAAGGGCATGACTGCTCAGAGCCTTCAGAGAGCTGGGATGGCCTGCCTTCAAGACATGTGACTTGTCCAGAGACACATGCACCTTGAACCCGAATGACACTAGGGGAAACGGGGAGCTGCTGGCTCCTTTGCGATGTTATTTATTTTCTTGCTCTGCAAATGTTTATTGAACGTTTCTGAGATTTTAAGAGATTTTGTTGGCTCTTCTTGTTTATTGCATGTGGTTTTTCAGCTCATCGTTTTCAAACAGCCAAGGGCTGGAAAGTGGGAATGACCTCACGGGGTGTAGACAGCAGAGGCCTCCTCTACCCCCAACCCTATTACCCTGGGCCCTCCACTGTGCCCCTAGCTGGGAAGGAGCAGCTCACAAACTGTGATAACACACCCACACCAGTGGTCTTGGCCTGCATGCTGAGCTTCTCTGCTGGGCTTTTCTGCAGAGGTGATGATCAGGACACATCTCCCCTGGTGGAGGAAGGCCTCGACCACTTCCCTCCACCCCACACTGTGGGTGGGCATGTCTGAGACTTTGAAAGCAGGGAGGGCATCTCTTGGGATAAGAACTGACCCAAGGGCACTTCCTCTTTCAGCTTTTTAAAATTAGTTTAAAAAATATAAAATTGATGGAAGCTGGATATAAAGGCGTTCAAGTGATACAAGAGCTTATAAAGTAACATGGGAAGCCCCTCCTCACCCTCGGTCTTGCAGTAAGAGCCGCTTGGGTCCTTGAAAGTGTCGCATAAGGTTTGTACCACAGGGAGCTTTTCCTAAAACTTTGGAGCATACCCCTTCTCAAGCCATTCTACTGTCTCTCTCTGAGGCAGTGTTTGATGTTAGACCAAATCATCAAATGAAGGTAAGATGATGGCTCTGGTATGTGCCACGAAGAAAGCTATAGGATCCAGAAGTGGTGTCCTGGGGCGCTGCCTTAGTTTGGAAGACAGGCCAGCAGGCATCCAAGGGTGGCACTGAAATGAGCTGCGCAGCTGGAACGCACATTGATCAGAGTTTTCTGTGCTTCATAGATGGAGTTTTTCAACGCACCATAATCCTGGTCCCATGTAGCAGCAAGTTCTGCACAAGCCCCATTTTGGGGGGAGGAGTTGATTTATTAAAATATTTTATCATGGAGAATTCCAACCATACAAAAGTAGAGTAGTAAAATAAACCCTCATTTACTCATCACTTATTAACTCTTGACGCCAGTCTCTTCAGCTGGAACCCTCCCATGTCATCCTTTACCCATCTGAATTATGGGGAAGCACGTCCTGGTCATCAGATCAAATAATCTCTTAAAATTTCAGTATGTTTCTCTGAAGGATATGGACTTTGCAAAAATGCCATTATTATACCTCAAGAAATGGACAATTCCTTAGTATCAAAAAGTTAGCAACAGGGGCCAGGCCAGGGGGGTGGAGGAGGGGGACAGGGACACACAACACGGGCTGGGGGTTAAATTCGCATGTTCCACTTCAGCAGCCCAGGGTTCCCCGTGCGGATCGTGGGTGTGGACCTACACACTGCTTGTGAAGCCATGCTACGGCGGTGTCCCACTTATAAAGTAGAGGAAGATGCGCACAGATGTTAGCTCAGGGCCAGACTTCCTCAGCAAAAAGAGGAGGATTGGTGGCAGATGTTATCTCAGGGCTAACCTTCCTCAAAGAAAAAGCCAGCAACAGCAGCATACTTTAAAACAACCTTGTCAGGTAAAACAGAAAAGTATTCAAGTCATAATTGTACAGCTTGATGAATTTTCACAAACGTTAAGTACCGTTTTCAGTGTCTGTGGCTCTGTCAAGCCATCTCTTAGTTATGAGATATCTCTGACATTGGATTCCACACATCCAGTGAGGGTCCCCAAGTCCATCTCCCAAGTCCAGAACAACCAAGAAGCTTTTAGAGAAGGAGTTGCAGCTTTAACGCTTAAGTGTTAAGGACCTTGAGCAAGTCATGACTTTGAAACCTCGATTTCATTATTTATTATTTTTTATTTATTTTTTTTGGTGAGGAAGATAGGTCCTGAGCTAACATCTGTGCCAATCTTCCTCTACTTTGCATGTGGGGTGCCTACACAGCATGGTTGACGAGTGGAGCAGGCCCGCCCCCAGGATCCAAATCCGTGAACGCAGGCCGCCGAGGCAGAGCGTGCGGAACTTTAACCTCTCGGCCACGGGCGGGCTCCAGTTTTATTTTTCAAATGAGATTGTTTTTTTAAAAAGGTGCTCGTAGGTATGAGGGAGCCTCGACATGATAAACGATCCAGTAGATTTAGTCATGTACAAGCACGGTACATAAATATCTTCGTCATCGCTACGTAGCGGTCGATGGCGAAGCGTGGCCTCCGGCGCGGCTCCGGGCCGACGCTGCGAGCGCCGCCCGCTAGGATAGAACGTGCGCCCTGCACCTTCTTCGGCGCTCAGTTGCCATTTTCATTCCAACATGGCTTTACCGTGCTCGTTTTGGAGCTGAAGGCCAGAGAACTAAGACATTTAGGCTAGGCTGGACAGGAGCCGGTGGCAGAGCCGGGACGGAGCCGAGGCCCGCGCCGGAGACCCGAGCCCTTCCGGGGACCTCCCGGCACAGTCCCTACTCCCGCCGGGCCGCTCCGGCCTCTGGCCTTCCGGAAGCGCACAGGTCCGGCCCTTGGGACTCTACAGAACTCCGCCTCCAGGCTAGGTCCTCTTAGCCAATCACCACGGGTGTTTAATAACAGGAGGCGGGAATAAGGAGGGGCTCTCAAGGGGATTGGCAGCACCATCAGCCATTGGTATGAGGAAATGCCGAGATAGACAGCATAGCTCCCCCAATAGACGTGAAGCCGGGGTCCGGCGCGAGCCAATGAGGTCGGGAGGCGGGGCTCGATTGTGTGTAGAAGGGGACCGAGGCATTGTCGCCGCTGTCGCGGCGCTTGACGCGCGGAGGGGTTGCTAGGCCGTCGGTGCGGTGTCCGCCGCTGGCATGAGCTACACAGGTGGGCCCAGCGGGGCGGGGGCCGGCTCCGGGCGGGGAGGGACAGCAGCGTGCCGGGGCTGCGCCGGCCGGCCCGCGCCTGCCCGGGCCCTGGACGCGGCAGTCTCCGCGGCCCCAAGATGGCGCCGCAGGCCTGGGTGCTCGGTGCCTCAGCCGCGCCCCCGCCCGCCGGCCCCGGCCTCGCCGCCTCGGCCCGCAGGTGGGCCGCCCTTCCGGGGGGCTCCTGCCGAGGCCGCCCTTCCGGGGAGCCCCCGCCGCGGTCGCCCCGGGGGCTCCTGCATAGCCGCCCTGGGGGCCGGGCAAGGGCGCAGGAGCGAGGCCCGGGCGCGGGGAGGGAGAAGGGGCCGGGGCCGCCCAGCCAGTGCGCGGCCAGCCAGGGGCCGGCGGGTTGTGGGCAGCTGGAGGGGCCCCCGCTCGCCTGGGCAGCGGCCAGACGTAGGGCTGCCGGCCTGAGCGTGCGCGGTGACTGGGCCTGCGCTCTCCTGGCATGTTGGGCGCTGGAAGCGGACCCAAGCCTCCAGGCTCCTCTGCAGGCGGCTGCAGTCTGGCCAGGCACGGAGGTGGGGGCGGGCCTCGGGTCTCCCTCCCTCCCTCGTCTGGCCCCCAGCTCGGGAGCTGGGCGAGAACCCGTTTTTCAAGCAGCCATCTGTTAGCGCAGTGGTTCTCAACCAGGGGCGATTTCTGGCCCCCAGGGGACGTTAGGCAGTGTTTGGAGACATTTTTGGTTGTCACATCTGGGTATAGGGATGCTACTGTGATCCAGTGGCTAGAGACCAGGAATGCTGCCAAACATCCCCCGACGTACAGGATGGCTGCGGCCACAAGGAATTCTCTGGCCCTGAACATCAGTAGTGCCAATGTCGGGCAACCCTGCCCTAGCCTGTCTGCAGCTTTTTTGGTTCCAAGGAAAGTCAGTAGAGTTGTCACTGACATCTCTGGAATTGAGATGTGATCTTTTCCCCGAAGTCTTACTGAGAACTGGAAGGCAGTTCCGTGGTTTCTAGGGGCAGGACTGCTGAATAAACCAGAAAATCCATCGTTGGGTACTTTGGGGTAGCTTAATAAGAGAGCCTTTATATTTATAGACAAGGAAGCTGAGTTAGTGAGGTCACTAATGGACAAGTCTGAATATCAACTTCACATCTTGTAGACCGCAATTCTGGATTTACGTGATCACTGAGGTAGCCTAGCTAATGAAGTAATGATTAGGTTTTTCTTGATCTTGATCAACTGAAAACCACAGTAGCTTTATAGTGTGAGTCTTTCCCTTTTAAGAATCAGACAACTAAAGTCACAGCATTTTAAGTCACATTTCAGACAACTAGTTGCCTCTACGGAGAAGTTCTGGAGGCCTTGAAGCAAATGTTACCTGTATTAAGCATAGGGGGTGACTAAAATACTTTACCTTTTTGATAACATGTCCAGCTTTTGAACGCAGTTGCTTTACATACACTTGGGAAAGGAGGCTCCATCTCGAGCACTGAGCAGGGAGATGGAGCAATGGGCGACACAACAGAAAAATCCAAAATCTGACCTTCAGAAGGTCTGAAACAATACTAATCTTTTTGTAGGAAGATTTATTATCTTATTTATTATTTATTATTAAGACATTCTCTCACAGTTTCTGTGTGTTAGGAGTACATCTGGCTTGGGACTTCTCATGAGACTGGTTACCTTGTGCGTGGTAGTTGGGACTATAGTTATCTGAAGGCTTGAGTGGGGCTGAGGACTCACCTCCGAGGCCACTCAGATTCATGTGGCTGACAAGTTGATGCTGGCTGTTGGTTCTTCACCATGTGGACCTCTCCACAGGCCTGCTCTTAGGAGCCCTCACAACGTGGTGGCGGGTTTCTCCCAGAGTGAAAGATCTAAAAGAGAACAAGGCAGAAGCCTGAGAAGTCACACTCAGTCATTTCTGCAATCTTACTGGTTACACTGGCTCCCTCTAATAGTTTGGGGAGGCATAACCTAGTGTCAGGAGGCAAGAGTCATTGGAGGCTGGTTATCACCAGATAGAGGGTGGAGGCAAAGCAACTTAATTCCGGTTGTCTTCTCATTTTTGTTACTTTCTCTAATTTCTTCAAAGAATCTTCTTTCAAAAAAAAGAAGGAAAAGAAAACTGAGAAACTCTGTATTTTTGAGCAAAAAAGATTGTCAGGGAGGCTGGCCAAGAGGGAGAGGCTATGATACCTAGTTATCATAAATCCATGATCTGACCCTTAGCTTTATAAGGCCAAAAACTTGCTTATTTTTTCACCCAGAGTTGATCAGCCTGGTAAATCGAACCAAAATGAGAACGATTTATGAACCAGCCAAGAATTTGTTTCTAACTAGAACATAACTGGCTAGCGAAGGTCCTGCTCTAGAGACAGTATTGTGGAACAAAATGTTAACGGTGGGAAGACAGAACGAGAGTGGAGGTTGCCCTTAAGCTCTGGAGGTTTAGTGGATTGTCTTTCCCTTTTCCCAGGGAAGAACCGGGGCCCCTGTCTCCTGAGTAGATAGAGATCTTCTGCTCTGCCGCTTGTACTGTGTTGCAGTATGTGATCCTGCCAGCTCGTGGTAGGTTGAGCTGTAGCTGCAGCACTTCCAAACTCTAGTACCTGGGGTCGCTTTGCTGGTGGCCCTGATGCTGAACAAACAGGTTTCCAGAAGCTAGTTGACAAACAGTGCAGAAGGCAGGTGTAGGGCACTTTCTACACTGTGAGGCTTTCCCATAGATGAACTGTGTCTGACGAAGGCTCTCTGTGTTTCTTGTGGACAATGATTAGTTGTCAGTGCTTAGGGATGAGGCATCTCGGGAAGGTCCCAGGTCCCTGGAGGGAATCAATTATAATGTACTCTCTTTAATCAGAGAAGGTGAAATAAGGTTTGACTTTCTCCTTAAGGCCCTAGTGCCCAGTCTCAGTTCCCTCCTCTGGAAGTAAAGATCAAGTGTGGGTCCACTGATCCTTGTTTGAAACTCTTGGAGCTGGGTGTGTTTTAGAATTCTAGCTTGAGAGAACGACATTCTACAGCACCCCCACTGGGGTCTGGGGCAGCACCCTGTAATTAAACGTGGCATTTCTGTACCAAGTCAGGTAAAGAAAGAGCGTAATTGTCCTCACAAGTCAGTTTTGCCCCAGAATGAGTGTTGGCACCACATTTGAGGAGAACACTTGGTTTTCAGACCTTTTTGGATTTTGGAATTGCAAGGTGAGGGATCTAGGCCCACGTCCCTTGGCTATGGTGAGGATGGCAGATAAAGCTCTTAGCACTCTGCGAGGGACACTTGTTCACTGCTGGCTGCTGCTTTTGTCTTTGTTGCTGTGGTCTTAAGAGATGAACTAGAAAGACCATCAACAAATATGTGAATGCCCATGGGGCGGGGGAGGCACTCGGTGTATGCTTTTGTTGTAAATAAGCTATCGGAGGCACTGGCTTTAATTTTTAGGTCATGAGTTGGCTCTGATGGGAACAGACAAATGTTGTCTCTTATGGTATCTGTCATAATTTCAGTGCCAAGGGTAAGTCATTTAAAAATTATTTTTAAGTGCAGTTTTAAAGATAGTGTCAGGATTCATAATAATCTGTTACAATCAGCATTTAAGAGCAGTAGTTTCTGGTAGTGGTTCAAGTTCGCTTGGTACTAATTTATTTTAAGTTGAGAGAGAGCTTGAGAGTTGAGAAAATAGGGAATAATATGTATATTATGTATAAGATTTATTCTGTATAAACATACTAACTCTAAGTAATTACATTTAAGAGGTAATTGTAATACGCACATCTTTTATGGGAAAACTAAAAAATACAAAGTAGTTGCGGTTTCAGATTTAGGGGGAATGGGAGGGGTATTATTTGCCTTAACGTTGTTCAAAACTAACCCCCATCCTTGTTTGAACTGGAGGTGGCTCACTTTTCACTGATTTGATTTGAGTATTTTCCTCATTTAACTAAATAATTTGGGTGCCCATTTATCAAAACAGGTTACTGGTTTAAGATATTTAAAATTTTATCCAGTTCTTCTGGCATAGCAAGTTAAGTTGAGCCTACCTTTCCACGGGTTAATATGTTCTGGAGGTGTAACTAAAGTGTTCAGAAGCTAGAGTTTTTGGAGGCTTTCCAGTGACAGGAGGACCTGCCAACCAGTCTGCACTGAAGGGTAGTCTTGGATTATCTCCTTGTGGCTTGTTTGGGGAGATTAACCACACTGTACATATGTTTAGGCTTTGTCCAGGGATCTGAAACGACTTTGCAGTCGACGTACTCAGACACGAGTGCTCAGCCCACCTGTGATTATGGTAAGTGCGGGCCCCTGGGAACCAGAGAGTGAGTGCTCTGCCTTCTCCTAGTGGCTGAGCAATCCGATGTTTTCTTAGTTGCCTTTGGCTTTGCTGTCACCTTGTCTTGCTTTTCCAAATGTGAACTCGTGTAGGATGGTGTGATGGGCCATGCTTCCCTTGGAGGCGATTATGGGAAAGATATTTGTGTTACTAGCAAGCTGGCTTTTGAGGAGCTGTAAATGATTGGTTCCTTTGACCCTTCACCATTTTGTTAGAAGTACCTGTGATCTGTGACAAAAGTCTGGCTTTGGAAGATCCCCTTGAGGGTCTTGGAAGGAGAGTGGCCACTTAGAGTCCAAAGGATTGGTCTGAGCGGAAACCAAGACATTAGCTTAGCCCTGGGGTAGTGCATGAGACTGCTGTGTGGGAGAGGCTGCCTGTCTGACTCAAGCAGGTTTTTAGAGTCACAGTCACACTGTCTCGAGCCAGCGGGCTCCTCACACACAGACAGTGTTGAGGGAAAATCTCTGACTGATTTCTCAATTGTGGACAGACCCACTGAATCTCTAATTCAGAAGTAGCCACCCAACAGGATCCATAAGATGTTCTGTCCGCGAGCTTCGGCAGCCCCAAACTGCCGACAGAGCTGGTCTTTCTGTGGTCTGTGACCCTGGGCTGGGCATCTGTTAAGAAGGAGCCCTCTTTGGAATTAAGAAGGATAATGCTTTGGTTGCTGAGATGGGTAATTTGTTTTACTATGATGGTCTGGGGACCTACACATTGACATTCCCTCAAGAGTCGCTGAACAAATGGACATAAGTAAGCTCGCTGAAGTCCTCCCAGGACTAGCAGCTCGTCCTCCCAGGGGGAGAGGGAGACTTAAAATGTTTGGAAATTGAGTGAGGAGGTATCAGGTATTTCATTAATGAGGACAACTTGGTTTGCGTGACCTCCCTATCCTGCCCTCCCAGCCTCACCGCTTTTAATCAAATGTAGTTCCAAATTGCACATCTTCTTTAAATTGTTTTCCCTCTGGTTCACATATCCTGGGAACAAGCATTTTATCAGATGTGCTATTTGCAGATATTTTCTCCCAGACTGTGGCTCGTCTATTTATTCTCTTGTTGATAGTGTCTTTTGAAGAACACAAGTTCTTCATTTTGATGAAGTCAAATTTATCAATAATTTCTTTAATAGATCGTGATTTTATGGTTGTATCTGAGAAATTTTTGCCTAACCCAAGGTCACAAGCATTTTCTTCTAAGTTTTCTTTTTAGAAGCTTCATAGTTTTATGTTTTACATTTATTCTGTGATCCATTTTCACTTAATCTTTATACAAGGTGTGCAGTGTAGGTCGAGATTCTTTTACCTTTGTTGACAATCAATTGAATATATGTATGTGGTCTGTTTCTGGACTCTAATTTTATTCTGTTGATCTATTTGTCTGACTTCTCCCTCAGTACCACACTGTCTTGATTACTGTATAGTAAATCTTGACATAGTTAATGCGAGTCTCCAGGTTGGTTCTTTTTCCAGAATTGACCTGGATTTTCTAGTTTTTTGCTTTTGCGTATACATTTTAGAATCAGTTTGTCAATTTCTATAGAGATTTCTGATGAGATTTTGAGTGGGATGGCCTTGAATATCTTAACAATATTAAGTCTTCCAGTCCGTGAATATAGTATGTCACTCCATTTATTTAGGTACTTGATTTCTTTCATTAGTGTTTTGTAGTTTCCAACACACAGAACTTGCACATATTTCGTTATGTCTACACCTAAGTAGTTCATGTTTTTAGTGCTAAGGTAAATGGTACTTTTAAAATTTTCAGTTTCCAATTATTCATTGCTAATATGTAGAAATGGGGTTGATTTTTGTATATTGACTTTGTAATAAACCCTGCTGAGCTCAGTTATTCTAGTAACTCTTGTAGATGTTATTGGGATTTTTTTTACGTAGACAATCATGTTGTGAAAGAATAGGGACAGTTGGGGGCTGGCCCCGTGGCCGAGTGGTTAAGTTCACACGCTCCGCTTCAGCGGCCCAGGGTTTCGCTGGTTTGGATCCTGGGCACAGACATGGCACCGCTCATCAAGCCACGCTGAGGTGGCATCCCACATGCCACAACTAGAAGGACCCACAAGTGAAACTGCACAACTATGTACCGGGCGGCTTTGGGGAGAAAAGGGAAAAAGAAAAAAAAAGAATAGGGACAGTTTTATTTTTTCCTTCTAGCTTAAATTGCAAGAACAATATAACAACATTTAAATGACATTTTGAAAAACAATCAACCAAGATCCCACCATTTTGATATTTAACTTTTGTCAGCATACCTATTTTAGGTAGTTGAATAATTTGTAGGTGGATAGAATTGTGTATCCTGCTTTATTTTGCTTACTGTTAGAAGCATTTCCTTGTACTGCATAAGGCTTAATAGATTCTTTTTGATGCCTACATACAATACGTCTCTGCGTAGGTCTGCTGTAATCTGGATAACTCTTAAGGTGGAACATTTACATTGTTTTCTATGTTTACTCTAAGTGTTGCTTACTATGACCATCTCCTTTTCTTTTGTTTGTTTCTTTCTTTTTTAAAAAATTATGTCCTTAAAATTCCCTTTGTCACCCATGATCTTACCCCTTTTGGGGGTGGAAATGAGTTCGTATGTTCTTGTGGAAGGGGCAGGTCTTGGGGAGTCCCCAAAGGCTGTAGTGTAGACAAAGGCTCCCCTCAAAGGGACCTGGCTAGGGAGCCCATCGAGAGTCTGGGTTGCATAGCAAGTAGCATATAGGGAGTGCTTGCCTCAGCCCCATCATCACAGCCACCGGCCTGGCCTTGTGTTCGCAGAGTTAAAGCCCACTGCTGCTTCCCTCCTTCATGCTTCCTTGCTCCTCTCTGGCAGGTCCTCAGCAGCTAAAGCCCAGGGGACTATATTCTAGCCCCTATGGGTCTGCCTTTGCTTCCCAGTCCTGTCTCCTTTTGAATAGCTAGTATCCACTGTCCCTGGTGCAGACAGCCACGTGGCAGGCTGTGCTCTTGAGCTGCCAGGTCCTAGTGTGCATTATTCCTTGTGTAGCTCTGCCAGCCCCTCTTCTTGCCTGTGAAAATGCATCCTTTGCCGCTCACTCCTTACGTGATTTCCCGCTCCTGGCTGTTGCTTGCTGCTCTTTGATTATTTATTGTCTCCTTTAAAATGCAGTGCCCTGGACCTCAGCAGTGCCAGGACTGCCAGCCTCTGCTCTGTGTGCTCTGAGGATGGTAGTTGTTGAATAAACAAATGAATGAGAAGCCTCTGCTTTGGTTTCCCCAGCTGAAGAGGATTTTTGCTTTGTGAACACGCTCATGCCCACAGTTCATTAAATGTGGTATCTAAAGTTCCTCGCTGGTTTCTGGTGCCTTCCCCTTGCATTTGTGCGCTAGGTTGGGGAGGAACCTGAGGGTAGGACCTTGGCCTACACCACCCGCCTCCGCCCCATTCTCCCTGGTTCATCTTCTCTGTATGTGCACTCTTGCTCTCCTGCAGCTCAATTCTGTTCACCACACTGCCATCTCACTGAGCTTTGGTCCCCCGTCCGGGATAAGCATGGCCTGTCCGTCTGCACGGCAGGGACAGTGTGGAATAGGAGGTGACTCTGGGGTCCCACCAGAGATACTGGGAAGGTAGTTGCCTGTTCTCGTGGACTCCCCTGTGGGGGAACCATGTCTGCTTGACTCAGAGTTCCCACTTGGCTTTGCGCTTTGTCAGTTCCCAGTGGCTTTATGTTGCTAAGGGAGTGAATTTTTCTCACGTGCCGTGATAAAATCCAGAACATATTTATTTATTTATTTATTTACTTATTTATTTATTTTGAGGAAGATTAGCCCTGAGCTAACTACTGCCAATCCTCCTCTTTTTGCTCAGGAAGACTGGCCCTGAGCTAACATCCATGCCCATCTTCCTCTACTTTATATGTGGGACACCTGCCACAGCATGGCTTTTGCCAAGTGGTGCCATGTCCGCACCCGGGATCCGAACCAGCGAACCCCAGGCCGCAGAGAAGCGGAACGTGCGAACTTAACCGCTGCGCCACCGGGCCAGCCCCGGGAACATATTTAGTTTATAATACAGATTGTTCTCTCAAGCTGGGAGTTGTGTCGTCTTTCCCCCTACTGATGTGTTCCAGCACAGCACACTCACACAATTCAAAGGCTTGGTGGCTCTCCTTGTTAAGGCAGACATTTGAGGGACTGGGGTGGTCAGTTTTTCTGCTCCAAATGGCTTTGTTGGACAATTGAGTGACGTGGTTTCAGAGTAGATATGAACTCTGCTGAGCTTGAACAGCATAGTCTGGAAACCGCTCTCCTCTTCTCTGGTTGGTGCTTAGCTGGGGATGGGGGTAATCATCTAATTCTGGCTTTTTAAGGGAGGAGGAGCGTAGGGGCCAAATTCCTTTGCTGAGAGTCTTGGGAACAGGAGGGTCCTTAAATAGCAGAGGGTCAGAGCCACAGAAGGTCATAGGCACCAGGGCACCGAGTGGCCCAGGTCGTTATGTGGTGCTCTCAAGCTCAAGGCTTCTCAGAAGTTCAGTCTCCCGTAACCAGTGGGAATCATTGGCAATCATTGTCTTCCTTTGTGCCTGCTTTAAACTCTTCTTGTGTTGTAAGCAATTATAGGTGTAACTGCCTTTTTACATTTTGTAGGATATGGAACTTGGAACTCTGGGACAAACAGAGGCAAGTATCATCCCCACGATCACCCTCTTCTCCCTGGGGATTGAACTACTGTGCGTTTCCGCTCTGCCCATCTTGGCCAAGGTTGGGGGGTGCCTTGGGGACCCTGGGGGCTCTGGGGCCAAGGACTCCTTCACAGGAGGCTTCATTGGAATGGCTAGGGTCCACCCAACCTCGGGTGGCTAGGTCTTCCCAGCTTGTCTCTGTGACAGAAGACGTCCTTGTCCCTGTGTTTGTCTCTCCCTCTGCATCTCCTCTCCCTGCTCCCGCCATCTCTCTGTCTTGCTGTCTCCCTCATTGCAGGCTACGAGAACTATGGCTATGGCTATGGCTATGGCCAGGATAACAGCACCAACTATGGGTATGGTATGGCCACTTCAAACTCCTGGGAAATGCCTAGCTCTGACTCACATGCAAACCCTAGTGCTGTGGGTAGCGCCAGTGCCGATTCCGTTCTGTCCAGAATGAACCAGCGCTTAGATCTCGTGCCGCACTTGGAGACGGACGCGATGCAAGGAGGCTTGTACAGCTCAGGTGGAGAAAGGTGAGTGGGTGCCTGTTTGGGGCTGAAGCTCTGCGGGGTTGCCTCTCGCCTGCTGCCCCGGCGTCTCCCTCTGAGCCGTCTCCCATGTCTGCACCCTGCCTCCTTGCTCTCCTGCTAGGTCTCCCAGAGACTCTGCTCGGGGTGCAGTGCACTTCCCTCCTCTGACTGGTCTCCCCCCTCACCCCATCTCACCTCCTCATCCTCCTGGTGGCCAGCCTCTCCCAGCTTGTAGGGGAAGGAACAAGCCTGGCTTGGGCTGACTTCACTGTATCCTCTGAATGGCTCTTCTCAGGAGCAGAGTGTTAAGGAGCCCCTCCCTCTGGAGACAGCCACTTGGAGTTCTCTCGAGACTTTGCGTCCTACGTGGGGTCAGGGCAGGAGAGATTGGGTTGGGTGTGCAGGGTGGGATGAGCTTTTGGGGCTGACCATAGTGAGCTGGGCTGTCCCTATATAAGGGACACAAGGGACAGAGCAGATGTGGACACTTCTGGCCACTCTTTGGTGCCTGACAAATGTGTGCCTGTTGAGCCTCAGAAGCGCCCCTGTGAGGAACTGTATTTGTCTTCTCCTCTGCAGGTGGGGGAACTGAAGCACAGGCCGGTCACACCCCTTACATAGAGGCACCCAGGAGTAAGTGGTGGAGTTGGGCCTTGCACCCAGATCTGCCCTGCTCCACAGCATCACGCTGTGGGTGTTTGTCATTGTCTGAACTGGTGCTTGCCCAGGAGTTGTTGTGCCCTAGCGAGAGACTTCCTTGAAGAGGGCACATGTATTTCTAGCACAGGGTGGATTAGAGCAGCCAAGTGGCTCCAGCTGACAGGTGGGAAGAGCAAGGCATAAAGAGGGGCCTGGCAGGGCACTGGTGGGGTCAAGTAGAGGCCCCAGGGCTCCTTTGGGGGTAGAGGGTGCCAAGGGGACTTGTTTGCATGGGCTCTGTATCAAGCAAAAGTCTGGGAGGAACCCCAGGCATACCCCCTGCCCTCGTGCCTGATAGCCATGGTGCTTGGAGCTAAGGCTGCCAAAGGCAGGGAGGGGGCTTCACTTTTGCCTCCATGGCTGTGTAGGCTTGCTGAGCTGAGGGCTTGGTGGGTGGGGCTTGGGCTTGCCACAGCCTGTAGTTGGGGAACAGGGGCAAGGGATGGAGTGGCAACTGGGTAGTGCTGGCCGCTTCTCCCACAGCTGCTGGTGCTTCTCTGCTGCTTGACTTTGGCCAGGAGGGCCCCTCTCCGTGTGAGCTATGTGGGGTGTGGGCGGCAGCCATGGATAGGATGACTGGCTCTCTGCTGCGCTCTCTCCCCCGGTGGGGGTGGGGTTTGGCCCACCTTCCCACTTGCTGGGTAGGGTTTGATGCCTCGCCCCAGGCTCCAGACTGGTGTGAGAGAGCTCTTTTGCTAGTTCCTGGGCAAGCTCACAGTGTCTTTCCTGGTAAACACGACCCATTTTGCCTGCCTTCTCTCTTTGGGTGCTGAGAGGCTTTGGAGGGCCTGGGGCTTGCCCCAGCCATGAGGGAGGAGACCAGCACAGGATTTCTCATGGGCACTATGAGCCCTGCTGGGTAAGCAGGTACTCTGCTGGGGTGCCCATGGACTGCAGGATGCTAAGGGGCTCAGCTCTGCCTCCCCAGGAGCTGCCTTGGGCATCGTGGCTATCACAGACATCTGCACAAGTTTCCAAAGGGCTGTCTCTGCCCCTGAGACCTGTTCTACCCAGGTGTCAGTCCTTCTTAGGGTCTCCAAGCTGGTCCATGGCCAATGCCATGGGGACATCAGCTGAGGGGCCCTTTCTGCTTCTAGAATTCTGCTCCTGAGAGGCCTTTTAACTGGCATTTCTGAGCACTGAATGTGTCTGACAGGGTGGCGTAGGTGCTGGATTGGGGCTTCCTGTGCCCAAAGACATTGGAACCTGAGGCCCTCCCTCTTGCTTGCCACCTGCCTCTGCAGATATGATTCCTACGAGGCCTGTGACTCAAGGGCCGTCCTGAGCGAGCGTGACCTGTACCGGTCGGGCTACGACTATGGCGAACTTGACCCTGAGATGGAAGTGGCCTATGAGGGCCAGTATGATGCCTATCGTGACCAGTTCCGCATGCGTGGCGGCGACACCTTTGGCCCACGGGCTCAGGGCTGGGCCCGGGACTCCCGGAGTGGCCGGCCAATGGCCTCGGGCTATGGGCGCATGTGGGAAGACCCCATGGGGGCCCGGGGCCAGTGCATGCCTGGTGCCTCCCGGCTGCCCTCCCTCTTCTCCCAGAACATCATCCCAGAGTACAGCATGCTCCAGGGCATGCGTGGCGGAGGCACCTTCCCTGGTGGTTCCCGCTTTGGCTTTGGGTTTGGCAATGGCATGAAGCAGATGAGGCGGACCTGGAAGACCTGGACCACAGCTGACTTCCGGGTGAGTGGAGGAAGCCTCCCTTCCTGGCCTGCAACTGGGCACAGTGAGGGGCCTGGAGCCACCCACCCTGACTCACTTCTCTCTTTCTCACCCAGACCAAGAAGAAGAAGAGAAAGCAGTGCGGCAGTCCTGAAGAGCCGGATAGCAAAGCCACCCGGACAGACTGCTCAGATAACAGTGATTCAGACAACGGTGAGCGGGGCTCTGGGCCGCTGCCACTTGCCCCCTGCCCCATGGGGTTCCTGGCTTGAGCTTGCCTCCTCTTGCCTTTCAGACGAGGGCACCGAGGGGGAAGCTGCAGAGGGCACTGAAAGCGCCGAGGCCTTGGAGAAGGGCTCCAGAGCAGTAAGTGGCCCCGGCTCTACGCTCTCTGTCTGCAAGTGGGCTGGGAAGAGCAGGCTGACTGAGCCGCTGTGCTGCAGAGCAGGGCTCTCCATGGGGCCACAGGCCATCCTGAGTCAGCTCTGCATGCACGCATGACCAGCACAAGTGGGCGGCGAGGTCTGATGGAGCACGGGCTGCGTGGGCAGGCCACCTAGCACCAGAGGCCAGGTTTCCTTATCAAAATGGTGGGATGAGCCCTCTGTGCAAGCCTGGTGGGAGGACGTGAGGCTCATGGCCTGGCGCCTGGTGCCTGGCACGTAGCAAGGCCTTGTCATTTAGAGCCGTTGCAAGCAACTGCACAGCTTTAACGTTGGGTTTTTGAAATTGTGTCTTAGGAAGGAGAAGATGAAGAGGGAAAAGAGGAGGGGAAGGAAGAAGGCAAAGAGGATGCAGACAAGGGTGAGTCTTCCGAGTGGGCTGGGTACCAGGGTGGCTCTTCCACATTCTCATGGTGGGAGGGACCCAGCTGAGGGCAGGGTTGTGGCAGAAATGTGGCCAGCTTGGGCCCTCCCTTGTGGGGCCGGGTATGTGCTGGCAGGGGGCTCCTCTTCCTCTGCCCGCTTGCCACTCTGCCCCTGTTCTTCCCAGGCAGAGGCTGTGGGAGGCAGTGGCCCCTGCCAGCACATTGGTTTTGCCTTCAGGTAGGGGCAGCAAGCAAAGGTGTGGGGGAACCCCAGGCACACCCCCTGTCCTCGGTACCTGAGGAACGCACAGTTCCGAGTCCTCAGTGGCTGGTGTCCGAGCTGGGACCCTTGGTGCAGTTTTCACGGCTCTGGTTTGCGTGTCCTCTCCCTTAGCGCCTCTCCAGCCCCTGTTGGGAGTCCGTGTCCCCCTACCTGAGTGATGAGCGCCAGCAGGTACCTAACAGTAAATCCAGCCTCAGCCCACTATTGCCGCGGTGCCCGGTGGGGGGTGGGCAGGGCCATGTGAGCTTTGGGGTCTTTGCCCCTGGGGGCCACACTCAGGCCCCAGCCTCAGCCTCCGTGCATTCTGCCACCCAGCCCCCTGAACTTTGTGCCAGTGTCCCCACCAAGACAGCCTCTCTTTGCCTTCCAGCCTCCCCGTGGCCCACTCCAGAGTGTGGGTGTCCTGGAGAGCAGTGGGGTCAGCACGAGTCCTCCCTGCTTCTGGGCCTAGGCCGAAACTGCCCCTGGCCCAGCCCAGGGTGCTCAGCCCTGCTCATGGCCTGATGTCTTGCTTGGATAGCTGCTCTCAGAATGGACCCTCTGGAGTAGACGGCGGGGGATCCAGCCAGAGGCCCCAGGGCCTGCCCTCACCCACAGAACCAAGCTGGTGACAGTGCCCCTCTGTTCCCACAGGGGCCCTGAGCACCCAGGATGAGAATGGTCAGACCAAGCGCAAGTTGCAGGCAGGCAAGAAGAGCCAGGACAAGCAGAAAAAGCGGCAGCGAGACCGCATGGTGGAAAGGTAACCAGCTTCCCTCCACCCCTTTGCCTCTGCCTCGCTCTGGGGCTGCCGCCAGGAGAGCAGGGCCGTAGCTCTGTTGCCTCGCCGCCCTCTGGCCTCCCTTGGGAGCTGCCACCTGCTCGGCCGTGCATGGACCCTGCTTCCCGCCAGGCCCAGCTCCCAAGGCCTGACTCGTCCCTTGCCCCTCTGCGGCCGCCTGGCGACGGCTAGCATCTTTGGCCCAAGACCCGAGACTGCTCGGCACCGTTGCCCAGAAGCTTCGGCGCACGAGCCCCCAGGTGCACTGGGGGCCTGATGCCCCTGCGGGAGGGGGCCAGCTCATCAGAGACTCGAGGTCCAAGGCGCCTGTGCCACCCCAGCTAGCTGCCAAGAGGCCGCCGCTGCGCCCAGGAGAGATGGCAGCACCTGTAGGCTGTGGCAGCCTTGGGCCTGCCCTCTGCCCTGCCCACCGGCCCTGTCAGGCCGGGCCTGTCTGCGACTGAGCCCTTCACGCCCCTTGGTCGGGTCTGTCTGCCCTCAGGGCTCCCGCACTGGCGCTTGCCTCCTCCTCCTCCGCCTCAGACTCTTGCTCTTGCTGGACCTTCCTCAGCCTCGCCGGCGCCCGGCCCCTGGGCTCTCCAGACAAAGCTGACCCCGTGGCCCAGATAAGGACGTCCGGCAGAGGTAGGGACCCGCCCTGAGGCCTCGGTGGCGGCTGGCCTCCTCCGCCCCTTGCCACGGCGGCCTGCTCCAGCCCAGGCCCCAGACCCCAGGCTTCTGCTGTGGACGCCAGGCCCAGACAGAGCACCTCGCTCAGGTGACTCCAGGCTGCCCTCTGGCAGGCCAGGCGGGCGCCCTCCTTCCAGCTCAGACTGGTCTCTTCTCAGAAGAGGAAGATGAGGCAGCAGGTGCCCAGGCCTGCTTGCCTCCCATCCCTCCCGACACCATCCCCAAGCATTCTGAGCAGAGGATGGGCTGGGCCATTCAGTTCCCCAGACCCCAGAAGGAAGATGCACATCTTTTCGGGCCCTGCCTCGGAACTGCGCACTCCACTCTGCACCTCAGGGCCACCTGGCTCACGCCAGGGCATCCTTCCTTCGGGTCCCCAGCTGGGCCAAGTGCACAAGCTCCTGCCCAGCCTTGGTAGAGAGGCCCTCCGGCAACCTTCCAGCGACTCCTTGCCTGTTGCAGCAACTGCTGCCTCAGGTTTCAGCCTCCTGCCTGTGGGAAGGAAGAGCTCCTCCCCTGTCCCCTACGTTGCAGTAACTGCAGGCTGCAGACTTTCTGTCCCTTTCTGCTCCCAACCCCACTGGTCCCAGCCTGTCCCCCTGCTGGGACCGCACTTCAGAGGCCTGTGAGCAAGGCCTGTTTCAGGGCTCGCAGCTGGGTTGGGTGAAGCAGCAGCACTATTCTCTGGGACCCTCGTGGCCTCAGCTCCTCGTTTCCCTCCTGTGGCAGGATCCAATTTGTGTGTTCTCTCTGCAAATACCGGACGTTCTATGAGGATGAGATGGCCAGCCACCTCGACAGCAAGTTCCACAAGGAGCACTTTAAGTACGTAGGCACCAAGCTCCCCAAGCAGACAGCTGACTTTCTGCAGGTAAGCCATGGAGTGGCACAGCTGCTGTAGCTTCTCAGGCCCCTCAGGGCCTGGAGCAGCCATACAAACCTTGCTGTCTCCTTGGTATCTCTGGCAGGAGTATGTTGCCAACAAGACCAAGAAGACAGAGGAGCTCCGAAAAACCGTAGAGGACCTTGATGGTCTGATCCAGCAGATCTACAGAGACCAGGATCTGACCCAAGGTGAGGAGGTTCCCTCCCTCTTCCACCAGGCAGGGCCTCAGCCTGCCCCTCTTCTGATTTTCAGGGTGGGGTCACAGGGCCCCTTTGTTCCCCCAGGGAGGGTCAGTGAGGACAGCCTCAGGCCCACATGGAAGTGGCAGGGCGAGGTGAGGGCTGGTTTGGTGTTTTCCCCAAATTCCTGGGTCTCTCTTAGGCACCTGGGACCAGTGGTGACCCCGTCCTTCTGCCCCCTACAGAAATTGCCATGGAGCATTTTGTGAAGAAGGTAGAGGCAGCCCACTGCGCAGCCTGTGACCTTTTCATCCCCATGCAGTTTGGGATCATCCAGAAGCACCTCAAGACCATGGATCACAACCGGAACCGCAGGGTGAGTGGCCCCCAGTGCCCTCCCACCATCCTGTGGGTTGACTAAGTGAGGCCTCTGGGGAGGTCCTGGGGTTATAACCTCAGCCTGCCTGTGAGAATTGTGGGGAGTGGGGGGCAGGCAGATAGAGACATATCTGGCCTGAGGCAGTCAGTGCAGCTATAGAGAGAGAGGTGGGCAATGGGGATTCTTGCTGGGAGAAGAGGGCATCAGAGCTGGACCTTCAAGAGCAGTAGGCTGTGGGATATGGGTGTCTCCATGTGCATAGGGGCCATCGGCCATACTAGGTTCAGAAACCAACCAGGGAGAAGTGGACAGTGCAAGTGTTGCTGGAGGAGGAGTTGGACTTCAGAGGTGCGTGTTGGCTGGGCGGAGGGGTCTGGGCTTGCTCCTGGTGTCAGCAAAGCTTTTTGTTTTTGAGGTCACGTTGGTTTATAACATTCTATAAGTTTCAGATGTACATCATTATATTTCGACTGATATATAGACTGCACCGTGTTCACTAGATCAAAAGTCTAGTTGCCATCTGTCACCACACACGTGCCCCTTTACCCCTTTCAGCCCCCCTCCATGCCCTCTGGTAACCACCAATCTGTTCTCTGTATCTGTGTTTGTTTATCTTCCACATGAGTGAAATCGTACAGTAATTGTCTTTCTCCTTCTGACTTATTTCACTGAGCATAATATCCTCAAGGACCATGCATGTTGTCACAATTTCATCATTTTTTCGTTTGAGTAGTATTCCATCGTGTATATATACCACATCTTTATCCATTCGTCCCTTGATGGGCACCTAGGTTGATTCTAAGTCTTGGCTATTGTGAATAATGCTTCAATGAACAGAGGGGTGCATGTGTCTTTGTGCATTCGTGTTTTGAAGTTTTTTGGATAAATACCCAGCAGTGGAATAGCTGGATCGTATGGTAGATCTATCCTTAATTTTGGGGGGAATCTCCATACTGTTTTCCATGGTGGCTACACCAGTGTGTACTCCCACCAGCAGTGTGTGAGAGCTCCCTTTTCTCCACATCCTCTCCAACACTTATTTCTTGTCTTTTTAGTAGTAGCCATTCTGACTTGGGTGAGGTGATATCTCATTGTAGTTTTGGTTTGCATTTCCCTAATAGTTGATGATGTTGAACATCTTTTTATGTGTCTGTTGGCCGTCTGTGTATCTTCTTTGGAAAAACTTCTGTTTAGATCTTATGCCCATTTTTTAATTGGGTTGTTTGTTTTGTTGTTGTTGAGATGCATGAGTTCACTATAATAATTTTGGATATTAACCCCTTGTTGGATATATGATTTGCAGATATCTTTTTCCACTTAGTAGGTTGTCTTTTTGTTTTATTGGGGGCTTGCTTTGCTGTGCAGAAGCTTTTTAGTTTGATGTAGTCCCATTTGTTTCTTTTTTTCTATTGTTTCCCTTGCCTGAGGAGGGCAGTGAAGTTTTTAAGTGGGGGACCAATAGGATTAGAGTTGGTGTTGAACTAGAGACTTTGGGCCCTGGTGTGAGAGGAATGGGGTGCAGTGGGGGCTGCTACAGTATCAAGACAGGTACACGCCACGTTGGGGATGAAGAAGAGGGCAGGGCAGAAGAGCTGTTTGAGGGAGTCACCAGGAGTTGGGGATGTCTCAGATTTCTGCCTTGAGTACCAGGTAGGCAGTGATGCTGCTGAGATGGGGAGGATGGCATATGGTACACAGAAAAGAGCAAGTTTGACAAGAATTTGAACAAATTCTGTCTTGTTTTCCAGTTTATTGCCAGTACTTAGCACAGAAGCCAGAGGAGGTGTTTTTGGTTAATGGGTAACATGCTGGGTTGGAGGTGGCTGCTGGAGATCAGGTAGGGGTGGAGGGGCTGTCCAGTAGGGAGAGTGTGGAGGCCCAGGACCAGGTCTGGGCTAGAGAGAGGTTGCCATCACCCTGGAGGGAGCCAATGGGATTCATGAGCAGATGACAGCAGCTAAAGGGAGCACTTAGGAAATAGCATTTCTCAGCCTTTTCCCATCCCCCTCCAGTTCGGCTCTGGTCTTCTCAGGCAGTGACTCCCAGCAGTGGGCAGGGTTAGGGGTCTAGCTTGAGGGGTTGAGGAGATCTTATAGGGATCGTGCCAAGACCAGCTTCTCGTGTTGGGAGCTGATGGGGGGAGGGAGAAAGCAGATTGCAGAGGATGGACAGTGTATGGCATTGAAATGTTTGTAAAATCTACGTGAAATGAGTGATTACTAGCAAAATATAAACTCAAAGTCGATCCTAAAAGAAAAGAAAAAAAAGAAAGAAAAAAAACAGCCGTAACAACTAGTAGGGGAATGTGGAAGGGTGATGAAAGATACTTAGTACCAGAAGTTGTTGGTTTATAGAGATAATTTAAATACTGTAGTTTTTAAAATTCCAGACTGTAGAAATGAATGGAAAGCTACTAATTATTATTATTATTATTATTTGGTAACAGCTTTAATGAGATATAATTCACATACCATACAATTCACCCATTTAAGGTATATGATTCAATGGTTTTTAATCTATTCACAGTTGTGCAGCCATCACCACAAAGAATATTTTCATCTCATAAAGAATATTTTCCTCACCTCAAAAAGAAACCCATACCCTTTAGCTATCACTCCCCAAACCCCCATGCTCTCCCAGCCTTAGGCAACACTAATCTGTCTCTATACATTTGCTTATTCTGGACATTTCATATAAATGGAATCATGTAATATGTGGTTTTCTTCTTCTTCTTCTTCTTCTTCTTCTTTTGTGAGGAAGATTGTTGCTGAGCTAACATCTGTACCAATCTTCCTCTATTTTATGTGGGATGCTTCCACAGTGTGGCTTGATGAGCAGTAGTAGGTCTGCACCTGGGATCTGAAGCTGCAAACTCCAGGCCACTGACTGGCCGTGAGCTAACATCTGTGCCCATCTTGCTCCACTTTATATGTGGGACACTTACCACAGTATGGCTTGCCAGGCAGTGCCGTGTCCACACCTGGGATCTGAACTGGCGAACCCTGGGCCGCCAAAGCAGAACATGCACACTTAACTGCTGCACCCCTGGGCCGGCCCCAAGGTGGATTGTTTTTTGTTTTTTGTTTTGGTGAGTAAGATTGGCTCTGATCTAACATCTGTTGCCAATCTTCTATTTTGTAGGTGAGCCACTGTCACAGCACAGCCACTCATAGTCGAGTGGTGTAGATCCATACCTGAGAACCAAACCGCGGGCTGCTGAAGCAGAGCACACCAAACTTAACCACTAGGGCATGGGGGCTGGCCCTGGCCTCATTTCTAATGAGAAGTCAGCTTTTGTTTTTTTGAGGAAGATTGTCGCTGAGCTAACATTTGTGCCAATCTTCTTGTATTTTATGTGGGATGCTGCCACAGCATGGCTTGACCAGTGGTGCTAGGTCCATGCTGGGCATCCAAACCTGTGAACCCTAGGCCACCAAAGTGGAGCACGCGAACTTCACCACCACACCACCGGGCTGGCCCTGAGAGAAGTCAGCTGTTAACCTTATTGCAGTTCCCTTTCAAGTGATGATTCATTTTTTCTCTTGCTACTTTCAAGATTTTCCCTTGTCTTTCAGCATTTTTATTATGATGTGTCTTTTTGTGGATCTGTTTGTGTTTACTGGTTGGAGTTTGTTGAGCTTGTTATATGTGTAGATTAAGTTTTTCATCAGATTTGCGAAGTTTTCAGCCATTATTTCTTCAGATACTTTTGGCTCCTTTCCCGTCTTTTCTTCTGGTGCTCCCGTTATGTATATTTTGGGTGACTTAATGGAGTCTCTAGGTTGTCTGAGACTAATCAGTTTTCTGCCTTCTTCTCTCTCTGTTCTTCAGATCGTATGATCTCTACCAATCTACAGATTCACTAATTCCTTCTTCTGTCAGTTCAAATCTACTGTTGAGCCCCTCGAGTGAATTTTTCATTTCAGTTATACTTTTCAGCTCCAAGATTTGTATTTGTTTGTTTTTTGTGATTTCCCTCTCTTCAGTGATATTCTCTATTCATCATGCCTTTTCCTTCTTCCCTCTCCCTCAAGTCTTGTTATTGTAATTGCTTGTCTATTTGTTTAGTAACTAGTCAAACTATTTTGGTGGTCTCTTTGATCCCCACAATGTGAAGCCTCTGATACTGTGCCTTGGAGAAGGAAGCCATGGACAAGAGCACAGCCACCCTGGGATAACAGTGGTTTTGACAGGGCCCTCTTTGTCTCTTTCTTTCCCAGACTACACTCAGCTGTTAAACTCCACAAATTGTTGGCTGATTGGTCTATTGTTTTCAACAATGTCTTGAGCATTAAATTGCTCCCCAGTCCCATCCAGTTAAATTCAGACTCCTCTACAGGGAGCATTTTTGAGGTCATTGTTTGAGATTTATTCTGAACCCAGGAAAGCTGCTCTTAGCTATTTTACTGGTTGTCTCTGGTCACCTGTGTGGCTGATAGTTTAATTTATATTGCTATCAAATCTCTTAGTCTCCTTTTAATTGCTTTCCTTCACACCCTCCACTGTTCTGAGAGAGCCCTTAGTCTTGAACTTCTCCACACTGTTGCAATTGAAGTAAGTACCTTTGGGAAGAGATTTGGGAGCTCATTGTTTAAGGCCCACATTTCCCCTGGGCAAAATCTGAGGCCAGCCTCTGGAGGTGGGGGTGGGGATTATGGAGTGCTTCTCTGAGTGACTGCTGCTTTAGGAGAGATTGGGGGGTGGGTATGGAGACAGCTATAGCCTCTGATCTTCTTGGTTTGGTTTGCCTCTGCTGGCATCTGACCTCTGCTTTATAAACAAGCCAGGGCTAGGGTTGTGTGAAACCCAGTATTCTCAGCATGCCATGCCCAAGGTCAAGCCTCCATTCCATAGTGGGGCTGGATACAAGAAGGGAGCTCCCCGCCTCTCTGCTGAGCTTGCCCAGAACTGAGGCTCCACAGCAGACAGATAGGGGCAAGATGAGAAATGCTCACATTCTCTCCTGGGGGATACAGCCCTCATCTGTGACCAGCGGGTAGGGAGGGAATCCTCTGCTCTCAGCTGCAGTGTCTGGAGTGGAGTTTCCATCGTCCTGTGCTGGGGAGGGCAAGGAAGCAACAGTCCTTTTGTAACCACCACACTCATGTCCTCTTACTCAGTTTTGGTAGCTTTTCCTCACTAAATGCTTCTTCATTTGTTGTATGTCCTTGGGACCATTTCCAGAGACTTTAAATGGTGGTTTTGTAACAGTTTTCTTCAGTTTCACTAGGGAGCAGGTCTGCGGAGCTTCTTGGACTGCCTTGCTGGAAGTCCATCCTCTAATTCATTTTTTGGAAGCCCTTTTAACCTTAATTCCAAAAATCTGATAAGGATAATACCAAGATGAAACTGTAGATTAGTAGAAACTGTAGGTCGTTGTTATTATTATTTTTTAAGATTTTATTTTTCCTTTTTCTCCCCAACCTCCCCCGGTACATAGCTGTGTATATTTTAGTTGTGGGTCCTTCTACTTGTGGCATATAGGACGCCGCCTCAGCATGGTCTGACAAGCAGTGCCATGTCCACGCCCAGGATTGGAACCACCGAAACCCTGGGCCACTGAAGCAGAGTGCGCAAACTTGACCACTTCGCTACGGGGCCGGCCCACCATAGGTTATTACCAAATAATAAAAGTGCTAAGTAAAATGTTAGTGACTATCAATCTAGTAGTGATTCAGATGTGTAATACAGCAGTCCCCCCTTATCTGCAGTTTCACTTTCCACAGTTTCAGTTACCTGTGATCAACTACAGTCCGAAAATACTAAATGGAAAGTTCCAGAAATAAGCACTTCATAAGTTTTAAACTGCATGCTGTTCTGAGGAGCGTGATGAAATCTCGAGTTGTCCCTCTCTGTCCTGCTTGTAACTTGAATTGTCCCTTTGTCCAGCGTGTCCACGCTGCATATGCTGCCCGTCTGTCAGCCACTTAGCCGTCTCAGTTATCGGATTGACTGTGGTAGGATTGCAGTGCTCGTGTTCGCGTCACCCTCATTTTACTTAATGGGCCCAATGCGCAAGAGTGGCAATGCCAGCCATTCGGGTATGCCAAAGAGAAGCTATAAATTGCTTCCTTTAAGTGAAATGGTAAAAGTTCTTGACTTAATAAGGAAAGGGAAAAAATCATATGCTGAGGTTGCTAAGACCTGCGGTAACTTTCTTACAGCATATTGTTATAACTGTTCTATTTTGTTATTATTGTTAATCTCTTACTGTGCCTAATTTACCAATTAAACTTTGTCATAGGTGTGTATGTACAGGAAAAACACCGTCTATACAGGGTTCAGTACTAGCTGCAGGTTGAGGCATCCACTGGGGGTCTTGGGTCCCCTGCAGATAAGGGGGGACCACTGTACAATATAACTAAGTAAAGTTTGTCTCTGGAATACAAGGATGGTTCAATAAGAAATTGGTAACGTTATCAGCATAAAATACTAGAAATGAAAACTTTATATGCAAATAATGATTATATTCTTAGAAAATGAATGATTCCAGCAAAATGGTCTTAGAATTAATAGAATTTGATAAGGGGGTGGGATTCAAGATACCATACAAAAAGTAGTAGCTTTACTCCATTCTAGTAATAACCAATTAGAGACGTTAATGGGAAAAAAATCTACTCACAGTAACCACAAAATGTATGAAGCAACTAGGAATAAAGATTTAAGAAGAAAGGTATAGGATCTTAAACTCCAAGGATATAAAACAAGACTTTAATAATGGAGGAACATACTGTGCTCTTGATGGGAAACTTAATAGCAAAACAAAACAAAAACTAGTTCTCCCCATATTAATGTAGACAGTTAAGGGGACTGGATGAAATTGGTGTGTTTGTTTTGTTTTTTTATGAGGAAGATTGGCCCTGAGCTAACATCTGTGCCAGTCTTCCTCTTTTGTATGTGGGACGCCTGCCACAGCATGGCCTGATGAGCAAGTGGTGCATAGGTCCATACCCAGGATCCGAACCTGGGCTGCTGAAATGGAGCACACAAACTTGATGACTACCCCACCAGGCTGGCTCCTGGATGAAACTGTTTTAAAGTTTTACGTTGTAGAATTAAGTCTAACAATAACCAAGAAAATTCTACAAAGGGGAGTTCAGGGACTTCTGTTAGCAGATACAACTTCTTACAGAGCCACTGCAATTTAAAAACAAAAAAGTGATACTGCACAGTGCTAACAGAGAAACCAGAGGAGAGTCTCGTGAAAGATCCCAGTATGTTCTGGAACTTAGTATTTGTCCAAGTCAGTACAGGTCCCTTATCTGAAACCCCAGGGCCAGATGTTTTTGAATTAATTTTTGGATTTCAGCAACAGCCACATGGTAACAATTACTAACACTCCCAGCAGGATCTTGGAAAATGCCTTGCAGTTGAAGCATCAATAATTCTTTAAGTGACTTGTACCAAGTGGGATAAATAAAGATCTTGTGTTCTGCCGCCAAAAGAGTTTTAGGGGCAAACTTTTCCTTTTGGATTTCAGATTTGTGGGTAAGGGATTACAGACCTATATGTCAGTTCAATAGAAGAAATGGTGGTTCATCTCATAAATTTCTAAGGAAAGTTGGACCCCTACCTCATACCATATACTAAATTCTAGAAATCTTAAATGTGAACAATAAAAGATAACAAAATTTATAAGATTATTTATTTACCTTGAAGTTACGGGAAGCCTTCCTGAGCAAGCCAGGAAACCCAGAGGCCATGGAGGAGATGACCTCATAGAAACACTGGGCAGGTGGCCCAGTGCACGTATCAGAGCACTCAGATTCGCTGGTGGGCAGGGAGGTGCCACAGGAGGCAGCATATGTTGTTTTCTTTTTCATCCTAAAGCAAAAATATCCACCAGTGATAACATCTGATGCTGGCGGGGAGGCAGAGGATGAGGACATTGTTTGAATACTGGTGGAGGAAGCGCGACTTCACTTTTTTAGAGTACTGAGGCGCTGTCACTTTGGGGAGCGTGTTTGGTAGAATGAAAAGCACCAGCATGGAAGTATTTAACATTTTTCTTGTGGTCTTTGGTTATTGTAGCAGAAATCTGGAAACAATGTAAACGTGGCTCCTTTGGCCAAGTTGGGGTGTGTCCATCTTTGCACCTAGAGGGAGGAGGATAACGCGTTGGCAAGTGAGAAAGAGTTGCTGAGGAAATGGTCTGTCCTAGTATCCTAATTGTGCCTCTTTAACTTGTTTGATTTTGAGCATGCATGAGGTCTATTAAAATTTTCCCCAAGTAGTAGAGAAAATGTGTAAAGATAAAAAGTGCAGATGGGGAAAGGGAGTAGAAACAGCAAGTGAGATGGCCTTCTGAAATGTGAAGTCAAGAGTTGGCTGGGGTTCAGTGGGGGTCCTGGAGGCAGACTCCCCCCACCCCAAGCAGAAGAGCTCTGTCATTTTCCTTCTGCTTATGGCTTTACACGTTACCTTTCTGACAATGAAAGTGAGATTTGCCTGTGCCCTGTGAAGAAATCATTTAGCATTGTGGTGCAAATCCTCCCAGACAAAAAGGGTCAGGCCCATCACACACCTTTCTTAGTGTCCCAGGGGCAGATGAGCCCAGTTTAAGGACTGGGTGCTGTTCTTTTGAATGTGCGATTTCTCTAGCTACTTCTCCACTGAAGAACACTTAGGTGCTTTCCAGTACTCACTACTGCAACCAGTACTCATGCATGTTTCCGATTCTTAAATTTAGGATAGGTTCTGGGAGGGAATTACTGAGACAAGTTTTTACTTTTGATACATTCTATCAATCTTCTTTCCAGAAAATAAGTGAATAGTTGACTCTCACCAGCCGGGTAGAAGTGTCTCTTTTCAGCTTTGCCGTTTTGGGTATAATTCTTCATTGTGGGAATCCTATGGGTTAAAAGACGTATATCACTTAATTATCCTGTTTGACATTTGTATTTCCTGCTTTTCTATCCTCTCTGTCGATCCTAAAGAGCTCCTCGCATATTAGGGTAGTTGGCTCCTTGTTATGGGTTGCACATTTGGCTTTTGGTAGGTTTCTTAATTTATTCACTGCTTGTAGTTTTTTATATAAGCAAATCAGATTTCTGAAATACAGCTGTAAAGACGTATGTCTTTAACCAGTTACACACAGTAAGTATGGTGTGGAAGGATGGAACATTTGAAGAAAGATCACATCAGGCCGTGGCTCCATGCTGGTAGAGTGATCCCACACTTGTACCAAAGGTACACTTACAGACTTACGCGTCTGGTTGGAATCCTTGTCACTGCTGAGCCCCCGAGGCGGAGGGAGGTGTGCAGGTGTGGGAGGGGTCCGCCATTCTGGCCGGGTCTGGGGTGGAGGACTTTCCGGCGCCCGGAGAAGCCTCTCCAGCCCCGCCTGCCTTGCCCGCAGCTCATGATGGAGCAGTCCAAGAAGTCTTCGCTCATGGTGGCCCGCAGCATCCTCAACAACAAGCTTATCAGCAAGAAGCTGGAGCGCTACTTGAAGGTGAGGTGCGGCCTGGCCGGTCCCCAGCCTTGGTCCCCCAGCGCCGGCCCGGGGATCCTCCCTCCCTTCAGCATCTGCGCCCCTCCCCGCAGGGTGAGAATCCTTTCACCGACAGCCCCGAGGAGGAGAAGGAACAGGAGGAGGCTGAGGGCGGCACCCTGGATGAGGGGGCGCTGCTCGAAGCGGCAGGGGGCGCAGAGGGTGCAGAGGGCGCGCCAGCGCAGCCCCCCGTGCCTCCGGAGCCGGCCCCCGAGGCTACGTCTCCGCCGCCGCCGCCTCCCCCGGAGGAGGAAGAGGAGGCCGTGCCCCTGCTGGGCGGGGCACTGCAGCGCCAGATCCGCGGCATCCCGGGCCTCGACGTGGAGGCCGACGACGAAGAGGAGGGTGGAGGGGGCGCCCCGTGACCCGGACCGGGGCGGGCGGGACCCGCGTGGCTGAGAGCGGAAGCCGAGCCTAATAAAGTTCTTCCCCTCCACTTCCGCCTCGTTGGTGTGTCGGTGTGCGGCGCCATCGGCGGGGGCGGGAGCCGGGACTGTGCGGACGGGTGGGGTGCGCCTGCGCGCGGGACTTGGCGTGCTAGGTGCGCCTGCGCCCCAGTGGCGGGAAGGAGGGAGAATGCGCCTGCGTGCAGCGAGGCCCCGCGGCCTGACCAAAAGTCCCAAGATGCTGTGATCGCTGATCCCCAGCAACCGGAAGGCCCGCTGGGGCGACAGGGGTGGGCCCGCGTGAAAGCCAGCCAATGTTAGCGCGCGGAAGGAGTGACGTGTGCGCTTGGTCTCCACTGGAGGTCGGGAGGTTTGTTGAGCGCATGCGTCCTGCGGCAGCCTAGGAAAAGGGGTTGCCGGGGGGCCGAGACGAAGACATGGAGCAGGGCTACGGAGGTGGGTACGGCGGCCGGCGCGGAGTGGGGCGAGCGGCTGCTGCTCGGGCGGCGCAGCCGCCGACGCGCGGAAGGCCGCGGGCCCGGGCCCGCGCCGGAGTGCGGCCGCCACAGCGCGGCCTGCGGAGAGGCGGCCGGGGCGCGCGCGCCGCCCATTGGACCCCGACGCCGTCGCTCCCGGCGCTGCGTGCGGATTGGCCGGAGGGGCCTGAGGGGTCGGCGGGGCTCGCGGGCCGACGCGCGGCAGGCTTCAGGGGTCGCCCGGGGCCGCTCGGGCCGTCTCTACTTCTCGGCCCCCGCGGGGCGGGCCGGTCCGCCGCCCCCGCGGCTCGTGAGCCCGCCCTCCCCTCTGCAAGACGCCACAAAATGGCGGCGCCGGGCTGGCGGGGCCGGGCGGGGCGGGGCGGGGGCGGGTCTCCCGCGCGGTGCACGTGGCCGCGGCGCGCGCCCCGGAGCCGTGTGCGGTGCGGCGTGGTCGAGGGCGGCCTCGGCGGGGCCGCGTGCCCCCTGCTCTGCGCTGCGGCGCGGACAGACCGGGGCCTGCTCCTGGCGCCCCTGGTGGCCTGCGTGTCCAGAAGCAGAGCCTCCTGGGAGGCCTTGGTGGGTGCTGGGCGGCTCGGGCGCCCGCGGGGCCGCCGGAACGTGCGGCGCGGCCCTTCCGGGGTGCGAGGTCCGAGCAGGCAGTCTGAGGGTGGCCGCGGCGGCTGCTGAAGTGGTTGCTCCAGAGGCAGCGGCGTCCGCGGGGACCGGGCGGGGGGAGCTGTGCGCGGTGTCTTCGGGGTGGGAGGAGCTCCGCCCGGCTGCCGGTCTTCCCTCCGGTCCGACTGGTCCCCCCTCCTCGCCCACCTTCCCGCCAGATCTTTCGGCCAGGTGTCCTGCCTCGCGCCCCACGCCCCCACCCTCCTCCTCCCGGTAAACCGGTCAGGCTCAGATGCTGTGGCCTGCAGGAATCCTGTAGCTTTTCTGTAGGACGTGTCTCAGGACCCGCTCAGCCTTGTCATTGCTCCCTTGGTGGTTGCAGGCACCTAGATCTGGGTTCGGGTCCTTGTTCTTCCGTTCCCCAGCTCCAAGATCTTGGGCAGGTGACGGCTTTTGGAATCTCTGGGTGCAACTGGGCAAGTAGTACCTATTTCAAGGGTCGTGGCAAGGTTACGTGAGTAGCATATGCCACTTAGTTAGACCAGTGCCCTGCGGTGAAGGGGTCACTCGCTGTTAGAGTAGCTGCTCTGCCTTTCTGTTGCACAGATGCGGCTGTGTGGCCTGCAGAGTGCCGGCTTCAGCAGTATGACTTTGAATCAAGTTCCCTAATTTCTGAGCCTTAGTTTCCTAATCTATGAGTGGCATTTGGGAATGACAGCTAATGGGTGCTGAGTGGGTGTCATGTGTTGCCACATAGTTGGCACACGGCTAGTTCTGGGAATGGAGGCAGGGATACATTTTTGCTTCATAAAGGTGAAGTCATTTGACAGGTGTGGATGGCCGCCTGTTCCCCAGTCTGCTAGGTTCCAGGGACACAGATGAAGAGGGGCGAGACAGATGCTGCCATGGGGAGCTTGGAGGGAAGAGAGTCGCCACAGAGAGAAGAGTTCACTTGGATGCCTTAGGGCCAGGCTGGAGCCCTGGGACTGGAAGGCTCAGGAGCATTAGAGGCTTCCTATCACATAGAAGTGAGGCCTAGAGAGGCATAGTTGTCTCCAAATTCTGGAGTTTGTTCCCAGTTATGGGGTCCTCATGGCTGCTCAGTGGGTGGGCCAAACTGGGTATCGGGGGGATGGGGGACTGTGTCCAAAGGCCAGGCTAACTGGTGACTCATCCTGTGTCATCCTCAGTTGGACTGAGGCTTAGGCCAGTGTCCCTCAGCCGTCAAGGGGCAGAGCTGGCCCGGAGACCAGTTCCCTCTCCTCTTTTTTTTGCTTTGACCTCAAGCAGGTGGAGTGTGGTGATGTATTTAGCCTGTTGTGGGCATTTAGGACAGTGCTGTCGTCGTGCTGCCTTCTGGTAAGGCTGGCACTGAGGAGATTCCTTTAGGCTCCTCGGAAGCACCCATATTCTGGTGTGAAAAATAGGATCCTAACTCAGAGGTCTTTTGTTCACAGGCTATGGGGCATGGAGTGCTGGACCCACCAACACCCAGGGTAAGTGGGACCTGCTTTTTGGGGAGGCTTGGGCTCCCTGCCGCCCAAGGCACCAGCATGACAGAGCTGTTCCTGATGCTGTCCCAGGGACGGGGGACTGTAGCCTAGAGAGGCTGACGTGGGGGTAGGGCTAGTCCAGGGGCTGGGAAACCTTTTCTGTGAAGAGCCAGGTAGTAAATCTTTTCCGCTTTGCAGGCCACACGTTTCTGTAGTGCAAAAGCCACCACAGATGACTTATAAACAAGTGGACGTGGCTGTGCACCAATATTTACTTGTGGGTACTGAAATTTACACATCATATAATTTTCACGTGTCATAAAGTAGCCTTTACTTTAATAACGTGTTTTACTCCAAGTAAATAGCTGAGGGCATAATAGAAGACTTTTACAACTAACAAACTTTATATTTTAGTAGAATTAGACTTAAAAGGTTGAGCAGATACACAGAGTTCCATTCGCTCCTCTAGTATAGTTTCTTTTATTTGTGGGATACATGTGTTATCAGTAATAAACCAATGTTGATACATTGTTGTTAACTATAATCCAGGGTTTACATTTAATGTTCAGTTTCTGTTGTACAGTTCTGAGTTTTGACAAAACTATAAATGATGAATTTTATGTCAAAATTCGTATGTCATGAAATAGTCTTTTGATTTTTTTTCTCTTTTTCTTCCCCAACCATTTAAAAAATTCAAACCCATTCTTAATCTACGGGCAGTACAAAAACAGGCGGTGGGCTAGATTTGGCCAGGCACCTGTTTGCTGACCCTGTTCTGGAGTCTAGATAGGATGCTCAGCGTGTTTGAAGGTGATGAGGTTTTCTGCTTTTTGCCAGCATCTGTTCAGGGGCTGGGACGAGGGTTCCTTCGTTTACTGAGCCTGGGACTTGCCTCAAGCACTGTTGGGAGTGGGGTCACTTTTCACCTGTCACTGAGTTTCTTGGGAGGAGGGCTTCCTTGTCACCTGTCACTTGGGCACATCAGTTTCCTTGCTCAGTTCTGAGGACGCGATTTTCCACTGCTCGATGTACTCTCCATGTTGTCGGTGGTGCCTGAGCTCTGGCTCCTGGTGAGAACTGGCACTTCAGAAGGGCTCTGCCAGGGGGCCTGGCCTAGCTGGCGGCCTGCACTGAACAAGCTTCCTGGGAAGGCTGCGTGCCCTTTTCATTGCCCCGCCCAGGAGAGGAGCCCTGAGTGTGCTCAGCTGAGTGCTCTGTGGGAAAGGAGTTTTACAGCTCAGGGGCCCCAGCCTCTCCTGGCCCTCATGAGCACTGCCACAGCCACCCACAGCCCTGGCCCCATGGGTAGTGGAGTGAGGTGACAGCTGTCTTTCAACATCCAGGCAGGGGTTGGGGGCATGGTGTCTCAGGTGCCTTTGTCCTGCAAACAAAGCTCTTGTGTGTTTTTGTTTCCTCTAAGGTGCATATGGAAGTGGTGTGGCCAGCTGGCAAGGTAGGCCCTTCTGAGGGTTCACGGGTAGGCGAGTGGGCCTCTGGTCAGCCACCCAGAGGGGCTGGGACTCAGGGACCCCTATCTCCCATCTTAGCTGTGCTCACAGCTCTCCCAAAGGCTCAATGGGTTGGGCCTGAGGTGTTGAGGGCTGGGGCTGGCCTCCAGAGCTTGTGGGGGTCGTGGGGGGTGGGGTGGGGTTGTGCTTGTGTCTGTCAGCAGCCCCAGCTGCCATTCCTGGGCTCTAAGCTACGTCTGGCTTTGGGTGGGGAGCAAGTATTCGGATCTGGTACACAGAACCCCTCGCCCAGAGCTGTGGCTGTGCCCCCGCCCTCCTCCTCCTGCCTCTTGTTAGGTGATGTGTGCAGTGTGGGGTGATGCCTGCGGCACTTGGTCTCATGACCCTCTTCTTCCCTGTGGGCAGTGAGTGCTTCTCCCCAGATGTGTCCACCATGGATTGGCCTTGTGGTTGCTGAAGCCCAGCTTGGCTCTTCCTTTCTCTGGCAGGTTATGAAAACTACAACTTCTATGGTGCCCAGAACACCAGCGTTACCACAGGAGCGACCTACAGCTATGGCCCAACCTCATGGGAGGCCGCCAAGGCCAGCGATGGTCTAGTGGCTGGGGGCCCTGCAGTACACTTGGCTTCTTATGGCCCAGAGCCATGCACCGACAATTCCGACTCTCTCATTGCCAAGATCAACCAGCGTTTGGACATGATGTCCAAGGAAGGAGGCAGGGGCGGGAGCGGCAGCAGTGGGGAGGGCATGCAGGACCGGGAGAGGTGATTATGGACCTGAGCCCTTCCCCGGCTTTGTGCAGATGGGAGTGGGCACCCACTTTTCCAGGGAGGGCTCTTCCCTGGCTCCCTCCCGAGCGTAGAGTGAATGAGTTGGGCCAATGTTGGGGCAGAGACATCGTAATAGGACTTGCTGGTTTCCTGAGTGCTGGGGCTTAGGTCACGGCTGTCAGCTAAGACTCCTTATTTCTGCATCAGGCACCTCGCAGACCCTCCACACTCTTGTGGCCGAGTGTTCCACGCCCCTCATTCAGCAATGCTCTGGGGGTTGTGGGTCTGTTTTGCCTTTAGAGCATTCAGGAGGGGTGATGGGGGTTTGGTTTGCTGTTCTGAGCCTGGGAAAGCCAGCGTGGTGGAGGCCTCGAGGTTCCGAGTGTGGTGACAGGCTGTGCTTTCATTGCAGCTCCTTTCGCTTCCAGTCGTTCGAGTCCTATGACTCCAGGCCTTGCCTGCCCGAGCACAACCCCTACCGCCCCAGCTACGGCTACAACTATGACTTTGACCTGGGGCCTGACCGCAATGGTGGCTTTGGCGGTCAGTACAGCGACTGCCGGGACCCAGCCCGTGAGCGGGGCTCCCTTGATAGCTTCATGCGCGGCCGGGGCCAGGGCCGCTTCCAGGACCGAAGCAACCCCAGCACCTTCATGCGCAGCGAGCCCTTCATGCCACCTCAGGCCTCGTCGGAGCCCCTGTCAGCTCCCTGGACTGAGCTGAACTACGTGGGTGGGCGGGGCCTTGGAGGCCCCTCCCCCAGCAGGCCGCCACCATCCCTCTTCTCCCAGTCCATGGCCCCTGACTTCGGAGTGATGGGCATGCAAGGGGTGGGCAGTTATGACAGCTCTTTGCCCTACGGATGTGTCCGGTCCCAGACCCGGATGAGGGATCCGGTAAGCCCTTGCCAAGTTCTAATGTGTCGTCTTTGTTTTTCTTTTTAAACAGCTTTATTGAGGTGAAATTCATATATTGTAAGATTCACTGAGTTTTAAGTGTACAGTTTGACTCAGTAAAAATGTACAAAATCGTGCAACTTTCACCACTAATTTTAGAACATTCTTCTCAACCCAGAAAGAAATTTGCAATTAGCAGTCACTCCTTGTTCTCTCCCCCAGCCCCTGGCAACCACTAATCTACAGATTTGTCTGTCCTAGATGTTTCATATGAATGCCGTCATACACTATGTATGACGTGTTTTGTGTCTGGCTGCTTTCACTCAGCATACAGCTTTTGTGGGAGAGATTTTTCAACTATGTTGCCGTTCTTGGTTTTCTTAAAAGACCGTTTCTGGTTTTGTTCTCTGATCTTGGAAGCTCTCCATTCTTCATTTCTCTGGGGTATCTTAATGGTCCAGGTCAGTGGTACATTGACATATGCTTGTGTCTGTAGCCCAGGAGGAGAGGGTTTGACCACTTCGGCGCAGACAGCATGGGCAGGAAACGGAAGCAGTTGCAGATCTATGATGAGCCGGATGCTAAACAGGCCCGGGCTGACAGCGACGGAGATGTTTCTGAAAACGGTACGCCTAAGGGGCCAGTAGGCCCAGGTGGGTGTAAGATGGGTCAGTTGCATACTTGGTGCTCTGCCGCCTATTTGTGCAGTAGACATGCAGGAACTCGAGGGTAGTATGTGTCTCCCATGCTCCCATAGCCCCCATTGTACTTGGGACAGGTGTCGTCCCTCTGGACAGTGAGCTTGGGAGGGTGAAAATGGAGTGAGCCAACTGCCTAGGGGCTGACCCTCTTCCTTTGTGTCTGGTAGATGATGGAGCTGGTGACTTCCGGTCGGGAGATGAAGAATTCAGGGGTGTAAGTCCACTCTTACTGACTAACCTTTGTTTCTAGTGCAGGATCTCTTACTTCCTTTAGCGTTTTTCTCACAAAGAGGTGGTAGCAGTGGTGTGGTAGACTCAACTCTTCCCAGTGAGTGGCTTTAATAGCTTGACTCACAGCTAGGTTTTAAGAGTTTTCCCTTTGTAGCAATCCTTCCCTTCCTGTGTCCTTGTGTGACACACCCGGCCGCACACACGGGGAGTGCAGTGGCTGTGTGGGCTGAGGCTCCCAGACACAACCTGGGAACTTGCCTGCTGCCAGCTCCGTGCTGGTGCTGAGCTGCTCCACCTCGCTCATCACGGCCAGACCCAGAGCCAGGCCTTCAAGTCGCCCATAGCCAGGGCCCTGCCAATACCCAGGCAGTGAGCCTTGCCTTCCCTGCACGCTCCGCCCCAGGTCTTTGGTAGGGCCTGGAGAGCTGGGTGTGGGAAGGCTTCGTCCACGTGCTTCTTGATGGTCAGATGGGTTTGGGGAAGCAGGGAGGGGGCAGGATACAGTGAATTTTCATCCTTTCCAAGGATCTCGCTCACTCCCTGTCTGGCTGGCTTAGATCTTGAGTCTGGGAATCTCTGTATCTGCTGATTGCTGATTTAATCTCCCGTTCGATGCCTAAGAAATGGGCTCTGTTTCAATTTTCAGTTAGAGAAATCATTTTTATCTACCCCTGCTTTTATCTACCCCTGGTAAATATAAGCAAACGGCTTGGGAAATTTGATAAAGCCCATTTTCAGTAAAGGACATTGGAAGTAACATCTTACAAATTGGGCTTTCTTGATATTTGGCTGATGGACAGGTGCCTGGCGTTCCCACCTGCAGAGCTGTGCAGGTGTATGTTCGCCAGAAGCTGTTCTTTAGCTTTAGAAAGAACTGAAAGAGGGTCAGCGGCGTTAATAAAAAGCATGGTAGCTGTAACAGAATCTCAGAAGGTACCCAGGAGTCGTGACAGCACACGCTCAGCCTCCATCCCACAGCCCTGAGACTTGTCCTAACACACGAGCTGTGTTCCTGGTGGCACAGTGACTCCCAGGTGCTGGTAGGGAGCTGGGCTGGTTGTGGAGAGTTCTGGAAACTCCACCTTACTGCCTGATTTTGCATGTGCCTTTTTTCAGGAGGACGAATTCTTCGACTCGGGGAGGCAGAGAGGTAGGCATCGCCCAGTAGCCCTTTGAACTCTCCTGTGTCTGCCTGGCTGCCACTCAGTGCTTGACTCCCGGCTGGGCTTCTGAGCAAGCCTGGGGTGTGGATGTGAGGGGCGCTGGTGGCTCAGGGCAAAAGAGGGGCTGTGGCCACCGGGTGGGCCTTGGCCATGGTGCTCTCTGCTCCAGTGTTTGGAGCAGCACTTGCTGGAAACTGGTCTGTTTGCCTCGCTCAGTGCAGGCTTCACAGAGAAAGGGGGATCTCACCTCTGGGTGTCTGCAACAGCTTGCACTCGTAGGGAAGGGAGAGTCAGAAATGCAAGGGAGCAAAGAAAAGGTGCCCTCCAGGTGTCTGTTCTGTTCCCCCTTGGCCAATGCAGGTCCCTGTACTGTTTTCTCCTGGGCTTCATTCTGTCCACAGTTCCCTCAGTTGCCAGCCCAGGGTCGGGCTCTCAGCCTCTGTGTGGCGGGGATACTGACAACTGCAGTGCACATTGCTGTGTGGGATGGAGCTCGGACGCCTGCCCGTGTTGGGAGCTCGGGGCGGGGGAGGCCTGTGAGGTATATCTGGCCCAGATCCTCCAGAGGCGATCATTGCTCAGCAGGTCTCATCATTCCCAGTGCAGAGACCTAAGACTCCCAAGTGGCAAGAGCAGAGCAAAGTTAAACCCCTCGGGGGCACAGAGCAGCAGCTGAGCCAAGATGGCCTTTGAGCTCACCCTGTTCCCATCGTCGGTCCATGGCTGGTTCCCCCCAGTTGCAGCCTGGCTCCGCTCCCATAAACTCTGAAGGCCCACTGCCCCTGCTCCTTCCCTCAGGTATTCAGGCTTAGCCAGCCCTCTGAGGTTCCCCCACCCCATTCATTGTGGTGATTATGTCTATAGCATGGGACCACACACAGCATTTAGTAGCTCTTGCAGCAGGGTAAATGCTAAAGCAAAGGTGACATGTTTATTGCGCGCAGGTCCTGCTACCTACCTGGGATGACTTTGCTATTAAACAGCAGTAATAGTTTCAGGCAGTGACCTCTTGCCAAAAATCCCACACGCCCTTTTGAGAGGCTTCTGAGCAGCGCACGCCGGTCGCCATCTTCGTGGGACAGTCTCGTGACTGGCATCAGGGGTAGGGGTTACAGTTCAGATGCTTATCCAACCTTTTTTCAGTGTCTGGCCCTGAGCCACCGTGACCTGGCCTGGCCTCACGCTGGGATGCTGGGCTGCATGGCTCTCAGAGGAGCTCCTGCACTGGCCCCAGGGGACAGACGGAGGACCGAATGGTCTCTTCCCACTTTTGTTTCTAGGATTGCTTCCCATGTAGCCCTGGGAAAGCCCTAGATTGGCAGTTTTGTGAGTGGAAGATAGAGTTCGGGCCAGCAAGGACTGTCAGACCTGCTGAGGCCCTAGTTCAGAGGAGGCCGACGGGACGGTCGTCATGGTCCACCTGGAGGTGGGATGGAGGGTGGTCAAGCGGCTTGCTTTATTTTCCGAGGCCTTCCAGCTGCTGCCTCCTTATCTGGGAAGAATTACTTTTCTCTCTCCTTAAGTGATGTTGGGAGAAGGCCCAATGGTAGGGCACTGGATTGGAAAAGCAGAACAGGGAGGACAGAGCAGGTTGGCCACAGTGTGAATGGGATGGGCGGGCCATGTCCCTGACCCAAGCCATCCTTATTAGCCACGAGGGGAGTGAGGTGACTCCCCTGGGAGCTCCCAAGAGTTCTCATCAAAGGCCCATCCCTGTTGGGAGCCTTTGACAGCCCCTTGGTGCCTCAGGGTGTCTTGACCCTGCCCTGTGAAGGTGGCGGCAGGGCGTGGGGTGCGGTGGCTGAGCGGCGGCCCCCATCAAGGCCCCGGTGTTCAGCTTCTCAGAATGTCTCGAAGGGGCATTTCTGTTGCAGGAGAGAAGGACGATGAGGATGATGAAATGAAGAAGAGAAGGGAAAAGCAAAGGAGGAGAGACAGGATGCGAGACCGAGCGGCTGACAGGTGAGGCGGGAGGTTGGCTGGACCTGGGCTCTCTCAAGCTCTTGAGCTCGTCCGTCTTCGCTCCATGATGCAGGGAGAGCTGGGTTTGATCTGACTCCAGGTGTCTGTTGGGAAATCCTAGTCATGTTGGTGGGAGACAAAACTTGGGAAACAAATGTGGAAGCACGTCCTTGCCAAGGGGTCTATGAGGCCTTCACATGCCCTCCTGCAGGCTTGTGGGGAGTTCCCTTATCCCTTGGCTTGTGTCTGTTAGCTGCTAAGAAGGTGCTTTGGGTGCCTTGTCCAAATCCAGACCACCTCTGGAGTTCGACCTAGCAATCATATACATATAGACGTTTTAGTCAGGATTTTGTGGGGCCGGCCCTGTGGCCGAGTGCTTGAGTTTGTGCACTCAGCTTTGGTGGCCCAGGGTTTCGCTGGTTTGGATCCTGGGTGCTGACATGGCACCACTCATCAGACCATGCTGAGGTGGCGTCCCACATAGCACAACCAGAAGGACCTACAACCAGAATATACAGCTATGTACTTGAGGGCGTTGGGGAGGAGAAGAGGGAAAAAAAAGAAGATTGGTAATAGATGTTAGATGCCAATCTAAAAATAAAGATTTTCATCTCTAAATACAGAAAGAAATGCAGGAGTACAGAGGCCAGAGGGTGTTGGTGTGACCACACCATGTGCCTCTCTCCCTGTTCAGTGATCGTCTGCTGACTAGAAACGTAAACCACTGGTGGCCATGTGAGCACTCGGTTGCCGAGACCTTGACCACACACAGCTGTTTCTTTAGCACAGGTTCTCTTTATAACTTGAGGGGACTGCTTGCCCTTAAGGCTCAAATGGGGTAGTGGTTTTCCTGTGCAAAGAAATGCTTAGCAAAAGAGCTAACAGTACAGTCTGGGAAACCAGTAACTGACAAGTGGGAGCTTCCAAGTGTTATCGAAATTAGTGGGAACTCTTGTTTTTAAACAGATAGATAAGTGATGGCTAGATTAGATCTATTTTCATGCCATGTGGGAACTGAGATGACATTTTTAAAGGACTCTTTAGACTCCACCCTTGTGACTGAGGATCCTCAGAGACTTGGAGAAGTTGTCACAGAGGAGGTGAAAATGCAGCAGGGAGGTGTGAACTGTACATTTCTCTGGTGGCTTCCTGATGGTCCTATACACAGGGCCTGGGAGACTCTCCTCCACGCCTCTCTCATAGGGATCTGCAAAAGCATGTGTCTTGTGCTTGTCTAGAGATCAGAAGCCAGGCATTGGGGGCCAGCAGAAGTGTGAGTCTGCAGGGGAAGAATCCCGAGTGCCACAGGGCCTGCGCTCTTCCCCGAGAAGGGCCTGAGGCCCCTCGGCAGAGCTGAGGGAAGCAGTGCCCCACTTTGGGGCCTGGGGGTTGCAAGCCACTCTCCCCTTGCTGTATAGCATGATTGTATTTGGTGAGATTTTGGAAGCACATGACAAAGGAACCTCAGTAGATTTTGACGTGACGTGTCTTTACGTTGAGTCCCAGGAGAGAATTGATCTTAGGCTATATGAGTTTTGAATTGTGTGAGGGCTTCAGGAATTCCTCCATAAATTGCGATTGCCTTGTATCACCCTGTGGCTGTACAAAGAAACACATCTGAGAAGCTATGGAGTGAGGTGCTGGGCCTCCAGGGCAGTGGGCTGGAGGCCTTAGGGAGTCCACAGTTTTGAAAACTCTCCATGTTAGGGTGTTCTCTTGTCAGCTTTTGGGCTAGAAAGAGTGGTATGGTAGTAAATTGCCACATGAGTCATTTTCCAGAAATACTTGTAAGGTTGTATTCCCATTCTTAAGATGGGGAAACTTGGGGTAACTGCTACTCTGATGCCCCATGAGAAGTCAGAAGTCTTGGTTCAGAAATTGCTTCTCGTTTCCATTTTAGTTCTAACCAGAGATGAACTGGTTATCCCTGTATCAGTTCTTCTTTTGTTTTGTTTCTCCAGGATTCAGTTTGCCTGTTCTGTGTGCAAGTTTCGTAGCTTTGAAGATGAGGAAATCCAGAAGCATCTGCAAAGCAAATTTCATAAAGAGACACTGCGGTTTATAAGCACCAAACTGCCTGACAAGACAGTGGAGTTCCTCCAGGTGAGGCACACGCGGCCTCCATTATGGTGTTTCCCAGTGATCCTACAGGTGGCAGGTCCCTCCCGGAGAAGGGAAGGGGAAGGGAAGAAGGAGGCCTCCACTTGGAAAAGGCTTCACTTTGCAGAATGACAGTGCAGAAGTCCCCAAGTCAGAGGAACAGCTGAGCTCCAGCCGTTGTAGTTCCCACTCGTTCTGCCCACAGAGCTGCTCGGACAGCCATCTTCCCACCCTCAGGGCAGCTGAGACAAGGCTGCCATCTACTAGGGACTTGGCAGCCACCCTTAGTGACTTGCGTCTGGTGCAGTTGAGAAATAACCACATGTGCCACCCTTTCCTCATTTCATTTGGTGCCATCCCCCAACCCCTCTAGGAATACATTGTAAACAGGAATAAGAAAATTGAGAAGCGACGTCAGGAATTGATGGAGAAGGAAAGCACAAAACCAAAGCCAGATCCTTTCAAAGGTGAGTTGTGATCCTGGGGTGCACCCTTCCACGTGGTACTAAGGCAGGTGACCGCGGTGTGGAGCCAGCACAGGGCTGCTGAAGACGTGGTATGAAGACTCATGGGAGGGGCACTTAGTGGTGAAAGAAACCCTCAAAGTGTGGCCTCATGTGGATCCTGGCTCTGCAGGCAACTCACCGGAGTGATATTAAGCACTCTGAAGTTTTTTCCTCCTTTGTATGAAGAGAAAGGACTGGAAGGATGAGAAAAGTCTGAAGTTTAAAATTCCCAGGTGTAGAGGCTGGCTGTTCTGACCCCACCGTCCTGCTGGAGGGCAGGCAACTGCCTGTCTCATATTCTGTCCGTACAGAATCCTTGGAGAGGACTGCAGGGAGAACATGTGGGCTGTGTCAAGGAGTGGGAGGAAAGCATCGCTTGTATGCTGTCCCAAACCCCACAAGACTTGTGTTTCATCCACAGGGATTGGCCAGGAGCACTTCTTCAAGAAGATCGAGGCTGCTCACTGCCTGGCTTGCGACATGCTGATCCCCGCACAGCACCAGCTGCTGCAGCGGCACCTGCACTCTGTTGACCACAATCACAACCGCCGGGTGAGTCCCCTCCCGGTGCAGGGCTGCCAGTGGGTGAGGTTCACAACCTGCTGAGGGGCTCTTGCCATATTCCGTCAAGTCTGTCACTTCATCAGTTAATTGTAAGATGCATCCCAGTTTCTACTAAAATTTATTGCTTAGAATGGATTAAATACAGTGGCTGAAACTCTCCTGGTTTGAGAATGTTCCTTGTAACCCACACAAGTAGAATGCCCCCGTTGCTGACAAACTGGGTTTCATGCAAGCTAAGGGTGAGGGCCCTTCACAGCAGAGTGACCTGGGGGACCCAGGGTTAAGGGCTGGTTTGGTCCTTGCTAGCTGATGGGGCCTGAGGCTAAAAATTTAGCTATAGGTCAACAAGTTTTTCTGTAAAGGGTACAATTGCAAATATTTTTGGCTTTGCAGGTCAGACAGTAAGTAAAGGAATGGGTGTGGCCACGTTTGGCCTGCAGGCTCTAGCTTGCTGAGCCCTGGTTTAGATCTCTCTCCTTAGTGTACCCATCTAAGAAATGGAGCTATCAATACCTGCCTACCCATCTCCCAGTATTATTAAAGATCAGCCAAAAAGCACTGTATTAAACAAGGGATTATTGTATGCATGTGTCAAGCTGTAAAATAGTCAAATGGTTGGAGTATTGGTACTTCTGCTGTTGAATTTACTTATTATAAAGTCAATATAACTGAAAAAATTGAATAAAGAAAAAATTTGCCCTTTTCCCCTACCTAGTCCACAAAGCTTCAGATCTGTAAATGTTTGTTTCATCCTGGCCTATACACATGGTACCTGGACATCAGCGGTGTGTCTGCTTTTATCTTTCAGATTATCAGGTTTTCTACAGTTTCAGTCTCAGTTCCGATGTCTCTCTAGTACCTTCTTCTCACACTCTCAGATTCTGGCATTTGGGATTTGCCATAGTGAAGAAAGATATTAGTTGTCTCTACATATGGCTGATCTCAGGGAACTCGATGTGACCTGGCTGGTGTGTTCTCTTGTTTCTCGACATTTTTAAAAGCCCACGTTTGGTTCCCTTTGCAGTTGGCTGCTGAACAGTTCAAGAAGACAAGTCTCCATGTGGCTAAGAGCGTTTTGAACAACAGACATATAGTGAAGATGCTGGAAAAATACCTCAAGGTTTGTGCTTAGGAGTCCAATGGACAGGAAGAGCTTTTGAAAAGGAGGATAAAGTGTATGAGTATGAAATGGTATCCTGAGTGCAGTATGTAGCATTTCTGAGTCTTTTGAAGAATTGAGGCACGTTGGAACGTATCAGGCTTGGGAATTCCACAGCTGGATTTTCTGAGACTCAGTGATTGCCTGGGAGCTCTGGGCTGTGGTCCTGTTTGGTTACTTTGTGCGCTGGTGCTCACTCTCCCACCATGAGAAACCTGCATTATCTATCCATAAAATACTGAGCAAATAATGGTAAGGTGCTTTAAAAAAAAAACCAGGGTAGATGACAATTGTCCAAGAAAGAAACTAAAAAGAGATTATGCTGGCAGAGCCAAGTGACAATGAAATGGAGGATGGAGGGGAGGGAAGAGCCAGATGCGCCACAACCACTGAGCCGTAGTTACAGGAGCAGAGTAAAAAAACCCCAAAGAGGGTGCCCTGGAGAGAAGTCTGGTCGGAAGAGCCCCTGGTTCCTCCTCGGGAAGCTCGTGCTATACGCTCGGTCCCATGACTTCGACCTTTGGGACTGGTAGTCAGGCTCCTGCACAGCCTGACAGGACCTGTTAGCTCTCCTCTCAGTGATTAAATGCTTCAGGACTTGACAATTCATTCCATCCGTTAAAGACATAGAATTTAAATACCCAGTTTAAGAACTATGACAGATGAGTGTTTTACCTTTGTGGGTTAAACAAATTTAAAGTCTCTGCAGTCAGGTGTAGACTTAAGCTTCTAAATACTGTATTTTAAAACACAGTTCCTGATCTGATAGTGATAATGTTTCGTTTATCTAACCTAGAGACAGTTCAAGCATATGGTCGTGAGAAGTTTGGCTTCTGAGAGAGGCAGACTTGAGTTTGAATCCTGACCGGTCGTTGTTTAATATTTTGACCTGAACAGTTACTGATCTTTGGGTCTCATTTCCTCATCTGTAAAATGGGGATAACCCTTGTGCCAGGGCTGTGAGCTTAAATGAAACTAACATTTAAAACAGTTTGAGGCGGGCTGGCCCAGTGGTGCAGCGGTTAGGTTTGCACGTTCCGCTTTGGCAGCCTGGGGTTTGCCCATTGGGATCCCGGGTGCGGACATGGCACCGCTTGGCATGCCATGCTGTGGTAGGTGTCCCACATATAAAGTAGAGGAACATGGGCACGGGTGTTAGCTCAGGGCCAGTCTTCCTCAGCAAAAACAGTAAGATTGCCAGTAGTTAGCTCAGGGCTAATCTTCCTCAAAAAAAAAATAAGTTTTGGGGCTGGCCTGGTGGCACAGTGGTTAAGTTCGCACATTCTCCTTCGGTGACCCAGGGTTCACTAGTTGGGATCCCAGGCGCAGACGTACGCACTGCTTGTGAAGCTATGCTGTGGCAGGCGTCCCACATATAAAGTAGAGGAAGATGGGCACGGATGTTAGCTCAGGGACAATCTTCCTCAAAAAAATAAAAGTTTTAACTTCCTGTTATGAGGCTTTTTTTTTTTTAATTGGGTTAAGAAATCCTAGGTATTTTGACTTTACCTCATGGTTATGCATTTGAATACAAAGTGCAGAATAGTTCTGGTCAAGCTTTTCTGAGATGTCTTTTCTGCGTCAGGCTCCAAGAGCCTGTAGGACTAACTCACGGATATAGTTTAAGTAAGTGTTTCTCTTGTTGATGCTGCCCATCATAAAAACACAAGCTCCCAGCAACCTGGGCCTTCTTCCATTTCTCATTTGGACAGTTCTTTAGATTACACTGACTTGTGTTTCGTCTTCTTGGCCAGGGTGAAGACCCTTTCACCACTGAAGCCGTTGATCCAGAAATTGAAGGAGATGACAATTTAGGAGGTGAGGATAAGGAAGAGACACCTGAGGAGGTGGCTGCAGAAGTATTAGCCGAGGTGATTACGGCAGCAGTGAGAGCAGTAGATGGGGAAGGAGCACCTGCCCCAGAGAGTACTGAAATGCTGGCTGAAGGGGAAGGCCCCATGGACACGGTGGAGGCCACCAGTGGTCCCCACCTTGAACAGCTGCTGGAAGTGGAGACACCCTGTGGAATGGTGCCTGAGAAGAGCAACACCGAAGGTGAGGCTGGAGATGGAGCTGCCGAGGCTGGAGGAGAAGCTGCCGAGGCTGGAGGAGCAGCAGAGACCCTGGCAGCAGAGGCAGAAAGCACTGTAGCAGTCACTGCTCCTGCCCCAGGTGCCACAGAAGCCGAAGTGGAACAAAATGATGCAGAGTCCAAAGATACTCTTCCCACAGAATGATCCTCTTTTCCCTGTTTCAAGGGATGTGATATATAATGCATTGTTCTTTCTTTTTTGGTTTGTAAGCAGTACTAGAGTGTGTGTTACTGGAATATGCTGAAAACTTATTTTGCTGAAAAGACCCAGCCATTTCCTTCAGAAAAGTGTACCTCGCGGGCTTGTCATACAGCGTTGTGCCTCAGTTTGAAGGCTGCAGAAGTTGTCCATTCCCTGAAGCAGCAGTGACGTTTCTTCTTACGTTGCAGTTGAAATCATTAAAGTTGAGTAATTCGATTTTGATGATACTTTACTTGTTAAATATAGCCACTGGCTAAATGCCCTTTTATTATTATTTTTTCTGGGAGCAGCTCAATACTAGGATATATCTTGCTTTATAAAGGATTTTAAGTTTCAAGAATTTGCTTTGGCTTCCGTTTTCGACCTCTGCTTTTGTAGCGTACTATATAGTATGTGATTCTCACAAGATGTTGCAGAATCTTGTTACCATGATGGTTCTGTCACATCCATGAACTTGCTCAAAGGCCTGAGGAATCTGACACACCTGCACCATTGGGAGCACACCCACTTGCCCCTCAAGAATGAGGACGCCTTGCCTTGGGCATTGTTTCCCAATCTTTAGTCCTTTGTGAATGACCTTTACAATTTTTTTACCTCATTTGTTTTCCACCTCTGCATTACTTCAGGGTTTTTTCCTTTAAAATGAGTTACTTCTACTTATATTTAAAAAGAAAACTTGATGTCACTCTCATGAATGAAAAACCAATATAAATTGCTATAGGTAGATGCTATCTGTAAAAACAATGAGTGTAATGAAATAAGCATATTTCATTTAGATAAATACTATTGCTTTGGAGGTTTCTGCGTCTGAGAAAGGAAGGCTAGCACGTGTTAAAGGGCAGCAAGCAACAGTTCTGTGTTCATGTAATCAAAAGAATTGGAAGATACCTCCCTTTTGAGATAATACTGCTGGGTCTGTTTCCCTGTAAACCTTCGAACTGTCTGTCACATTTGGGGAAGTATTGGCCAGTGGGAAATTATTAGAAAAGAGATAGTAAAATATTTGGTGAGCATCTACTGTGTACCAGGTGCTAATTTCCTATAAAAATAAGATGAGTGCTGCTCTCAAGGAGCCTTATTGGAGATGTGAGATGAATATTTATGAAAAAGTCCATATTAGAACTAAAATAAACTCAATAAGCAAGAAAATGGTGACTTTGGATCATTTCTGCTTGTCATTTTTTTTTTTTTTAAAAGATTTTATTTTTCCTTTTTCTCCCCAAAGCCCCCCCCCCGGTACATAGTTGTATATTTTTAGTTGTGGGTCCTTCTAGTTGTGCTATGTGGGACGCCGCCTCAGCATGGCTTGATGAGCGGTGCCATGTCCATCTCCAGGATCCAAACCAGCAAAACCCTGGGCCACTGAAGTGGAACGCATGAACTTAACCACTCGGCCATGGGGCCGGCCCCTGCTTGTCATTCTTTAATGCTGCATAATGTGGTTTAATCACAGTTGAGTGTGCCCCTTGAAACTTGTTCTCTTAAGGCAAAAATATTGCTGGCATTGAAAATCAGTAGTCTAGGGGCTGGCCCCTGGGCCGAGTGGGTAAGTTCCAGCCTTCCGCTTTGGCAGCCCAGGGTTTCGCCAGTTCGGATCCTAGGCGCAGACATGGCACTGCTCATCAAGCCATGCTGAGGTGGTGTCCCACGTAGCACAGCCAGAGGGACCTGCAACTAGAATATACAACTGTGTACTGGGGGGCTTTGGGGAGAAGAAAAAAAGAAGATTGGCAACAGATCTTAGCTCAGGTGCCAGTCTTAAAAAAAAAAAATCAGTCTGAAAAAGGATAACAAAACTATGTAACTGCTTTTTCTTTTTTTATAAAAGTAATCCAAGGCCTGTTGTTAAATAAATGTAAATTTCAGCGAGGCTCTTCCATCCCCCACCCTGTGTGAAGCAACATGCATCAACTTACATTTTCCCAAACTTAGGTCAACCAGGTCCTCTTTCCCCACGATGGGGAGTAACTACTTGGATTGCACAAATGGGATGCCCTTATATTTCCTAAAATGACAGGCATAAGTTGCAAGCTTCCCCACTGGGAACTAATATTTATCAGTTATTTCTCTTTATTTGTAGAGGAGGAGCCCAAGGGCGAGGTTAAGTAACTTTTGGGTCACACATGAAAGGTGGGGATACCCACATTAATACACAGGTATTAGGAGACACCAAAGGCCGTGAACTTTCCATGGAGTACTTATTATTATTTAAAAACAGGTTTAGAGAATTTGGCAATGCCCGCTACTCCCAGGCAAAAAAATCTTAGAAATGGCAGCCTAATTTTAACTTTATGTCATCATTGTGGGTGTGTGTGATTTCACTGGGTTGCTGAAGGGGAAACAATACAGAGTAATGCGTGAAGCGCTCATTCAAGGGCACGTAACCGTTAGTGTACTAAATGCTGTCCGGTTCAGTGGTGGCCCTTAAATCATTTTCACTGCCTGGTAAGCTGGCTGAAAGTGGCCCTTGGGCACAAGAGATGTGACTGGTGATTACAGAGTGGCACAGTAGAGTTCAACTAGAACTTTAGAACTGATAGGAGCAGAGTAGAAGAGCCTTTTAGCATTTCCCCTTTTTTTTTTTTGCAGTGGCCAATAAAAAGATGGGCATGGGAAAAAGCACATTGGTGTGGCTTTGCACTGATTTCACATTGAGGAAGGCTCTTTGATAACAGAAAATTAGCCACTTCGTTTTATACAAGGACACTGAGGCACATGCGGTTAGTTGGTTTTCCTCAATCAGACTTCCAGTCTGTGTACCTCCTCTCAAAACACTATATGTTGACTGTATACTTCATGTAGATCAGAAATTAGAATTCAGTTTGGGGGACTATGTGGTGGGGTAGTGGGCAATCTATCCACTCATGGAATTGGTTATCAGAATTAAGTGAGAGAATAAACACTTGGCACTATTGAAAAAGTGTTCACTAAGCTCAACAGTTTGTCTTTTTTCTAAGGTAAAATTCACTGAACAAAATGAGCCATTAATCATTCTAAAGTGGACAGTGCAGTGGTATTTGGTACATTCAAGATGTGCAACCATCACCTGTAGCTGGTTCCAAGATCTTTTCCTCACCCTAAAAGGATACCCCTCACCCACTAGTAATCACTCCCCATTCCTCCTCCCCCCAGCCCTTAACAGACACTGGTCTACTGTCTGTCTCTGGGCTTACCAGTCTGGATATTTCATATTAAGGGAACCATATAACACATGACCTTTTCAGTCTAGCTTCTTTCACTAAGAACGTTTTTGAGGTCCCTCCATGTGTAGCAAGTATCAGTGCTTCATTCCTTTTTATGTACGTTTATGCTACACTTGTTTATCCATTCATCCAATAATGGACATTTGTGTTTGCATGTTTTCAGTATTGTAAATAGTGCTGCAAGGAATATTCTTGAACAAGAATTTGAGTATCTGTTTTCAATTCTTTGGGGTATATACCTAAGAGTAGAATTGTTGGGTCATATGGTCATTTTATGTTTAAATTTTTGAGGAACCACCAAACTTTTCCACCACAGCTGCACCAGTTTACACACCTGCTAGCAATGTACAAGGGTTCTAACTTCTCCACACCCTCACCAACTCTTATTTTCCATTTTCTTGATTCTAGCCATTCTAGTGGGTGTGAAGTGGTATCTCATTGTGATTTGATCTGAAGTTCTCTAATGACTAATGACATTGGGTATCCCTGCAGGTGCTTTTTAGTCATTTGTTTATCTTTGGGGAAATGTCTAAGTTATTTGCCCATTTTCTAATTGGGTTGTCTTTTTGTTAAGTTGTAGTTCTTTATATGTTCTGGATACTAGACGCTTATCAGATACATGATTTGCAAATACCTTCTCCCATTCTGTGAGCTGTCTTTTCACTCTCTTCATAGAGCCCTTTGATGTACAAAAATTTTTATTTTTGATCAAGTCCAATTTATTTTTCCTTTTGTTGCTTGTACTTTTGGTGTCATATGTAAGAAACTATTGCCAAATCCAAGGTCATAAAGATTTATCCCATGTTTTCTTCTAAGAGTTTTATGGGTTTAGGTCTGTGATCCATTTTGAGTTAATTTTTGTAAATGGTGTGAGGTAAGGGTCCAACTTCATTCTATTCCACGTGAATATGCAGTTGTCCCAGCACCATTTGTTGAAGAGAATATTCTTTCCCCATTAAACAGTACTTGCCCCTTTGTCAAAAGTTAGTTGACCATAGCTGCATGGGTTTACTGCTGGACTCTCAATTCTATTCTATTGTTCTATATATCTATCCTCATGCAAGTACCACACTGTAGTGTTGGAGTGAAATTTGGAATCAGCAATTGTGAATCCTCCAACTTTCTTCTTTTTCAAAATTATTTTGGTTTTTCTGGGTCCCTTGAGTTTACAGATTAATTTTAGGGTCAGCTTATCAATTTCTACAAAGATGACAGTTGATATTCTGATAAGAATTAGATTTAATCTATAGATCACCTCAGGGAGTATTGCTATCTTTACAATATTAAGGCTTCCAATTCATGAACGTGGATGTCTTTCCACTTATTTAGGTCGTCATTAACTTCTTTAAGCTGTGTTTTGTAGTTTTCAGTGTATAACTTCTACACTTGTGTTAAATTTATTCCTAAGTATTTTATTCTTTTGATGCTATTGTAAACGAAATTGTTTTCTTAATCTCATTTATGGAGTGTTCATTGTTAGTGTATAGAAATACAACTGATTTTTGTATGATCTTGTATCCTGCAAATTTGCTGAATTTGTTTACTAGCTCTAATTTGTTTTTTGGTGGATTCTTAAAGATTTTCATGTAAGATCATGTCCTCAGTGAATAGAGATTGTTTTACTTCTTTCCTATCTGGGTGCCTTTTATCTTTTTCTTGCCTGATTGCTCTGGCTAGAACTTGCACTACAGTGTTGGCATCCTTGTAACATTTCTTTTTAAAGTTATTTATATCCTAAGTAATCTTCTTCCTGACTGTGAATTTCATTAAATTTATGTGGAAGAACATTTGTCTAGGTTCCCGCAAATACTCTATATCCAGCCAATCCATTTAAGCTGGAATCTTTGAATAAAGAACATAACATCTCCTTTTGGGATATAAGTTTACGAGTCATAGGTCAACCAGTTGGATATTCAGTGCCTGCAGGGCCCAGGCATTGTGGGTGCATGTATCATGTCTTTGCTTAGCAACTGGCCCACAGATACCCACTCAGGACAAATCCTCAACCTGCCCTGCAGGAAATGCCTGGGGATTTTAGCTTCTCGGATGCCTACAAAGATTGGGGAACATTTCTCTGAATAGGAGGGAAGGTAGAGAGCTCACAAATGCATCACAAATTTCTCTCATCTGCTGCCTTATATGAAATTACCTCTGAAAACAATTTCTCTTCAGAGATAACCCCCAAGGGCCAATGACTAACTTCAGGGTAACAGAATGTGTAATTGTCTACTACAATGGTCCCCATAAGGAAAACTGTGCCTCCATAGACGTAACTTCCTAATTTATTCCCATCGGATGACAAGACAAGACTGATTGTCTCAAATGAACTAGACCACAATTTTCCCGAGTGTTTGAAATGCACTTTAACTCAACAATGGTAAAACCAGAGGAAGCTAAGGGAATATTCTGGGAGAAGGAAGAATTTGCTTGCTGCTCTTCATGAGCCCACAAAGGCTGAAATATGTCTTCCCTAGGGAAAGGGGATATTTGCTCCCAGGGTGTATGTCATTAGTTATCTACTGCTTCATAACCAATTACTCCAAAAGTGAGTGGCTTAAAATAAAACACATTTATTATTTCACATTTCTGGGAGTCAGAAATCCAGATGTGGCTTAGCTGGGTCCTTAGTTGGAATTACAAGGCTGCACAGTGTCAGCCAAGACCGTGGTCTCATCTGAAGGCTTGACTACGGAAGGATCTACTTTCAAGGCTGCTCATGTGGTTGTCAGCAGAACTAAGTTCCTTGCAGCTGTTGGAATGAGGGCATTAGCTCCTTGCTGGCTATTGACCAGAAGCCTCCCTCAGTTCCTTGCCACATGGGCCTCTCCTACATGGCAGCTTGCTTCACCAAAATGTACAAGCTGAGAAGACAAAAGAGAGTCCAGCTAGATGAAAGTCACTCTTTGTAACCTAATCGAGAAAGTGACGACTCATCACTTTTGCCAT